TTTATAGGTATGCACAGAATTAGAGCCCCTGTGGTTGAGGGGCACCAAATAACTGAGAGAATCTGTTTGAGATATGACTACAATGAACTGCCAAATTCTAGTATTTCTAGTTTGTTGTGTTGTTTTCACTTATCATTTCTCCTGCTCCTCAATTAAAATCATTAGAGGCTGATCCAATAGGATCATCGTTGAACAGTGGTGGCAGACTTTGATTTCTTACTTTTTTAAAAAACAAACAAACCAAGTCTCTAACCTTTTTAGAAAGAAAGTTATGAAGCATAATGTGCAGATATCTAGCTAAGTAATTTGTGTTAAATGAACCAGCCTGGCTGCTCCTACCTTTCAGTGTTGTTAGCCAATGAGTGAAGTCAGAACTGGATTTATGCCAGATGTGGCCCTAAACTCTGAGGTTTTTTTGTTTGTTTTTTAATGAAGTCTCTACCCTTCTAGAAATAGAATTGTGCGGGCAACCTTCTAAGCAAGGAGAGTCCACTGACACAAACAGAGGGGCAAGTATGATGCCTCTGGTTCTGCAACACAGAGTACTTGCTGAAGTTCAGTTCCAATTGGCTATGACGTTAACTTCTCCCCTTCTTTCTGAAGCAAAGACGTTGCCTGGGCAGCTGTTGTGGGACAAAGATGGGAGAGCATAGGAGAGATAGGATGAGATAGGTAAGGGGAGAGAGACTCTGTGTTGGCCAGCAGGTACAGTAATGGCTTTTCTCACCTGTCCAGCCCTAGGAGCCTTCATAAGAGAGCTGTTTCCAGAGGAAGAACTGTGAGGGAAGAGAGAGTCTGTTTGCCATCAGAGGGTGGTTGGTTTGACCTGTGCAACCCTACTTCCTACCCAAAGAACTTCCAGAATGGCATTGCTGCCATAGGCATTATTGTGTATATGCATTTTAGTGAGCTGAATATAGTGAGATATTATGAGTTATGGGGGTGTGGAGCGGGTATGTATGATCTTAACAGCAATTAGTTTATTTTTTGGTTGCTATTTTGTTAATATTGTTTTATGGATTATAAATGCTGTTAATCACATAATATGCTTTTTGCCTTAACTGCGGTGTTTAGCTTATTTTTTTAGTTGTTGCTTTGTTTACAATGTTTTTTAGATTGTAATTCTTCCACTGGTGACTTGTTAATTATTTCATATGATTTATGCTGTACTTGTGATGTTTTATTGTGTTCTATAATGTTCTTGTTATGTATTGTTTGTAAGCCGCTTTGGGATTGATTTGAATGAAAGGCAGCATAGAAATATAACAAATCAAATCAAAAGGAAAGATGCTACTACCCCTTTGGGTTTTTGGAGGATGTTGGGGTTGGGGAAGGGCTGAGACTATTCCATCTCCTTTGCTTTGGCTACCTATGGAAGGACTGAGAGCCAGTGTGGTGTAGTGGTTAAGAGCGGTGGACTCGTAATCTGGTGAACTGGGTTTGATTCCCCACTCCTCCACATGCATCTGCTGGGTGACCTTGGGCCAGTCACACTTCTCTGAAGTCTCTCAGCCTCACTCACCTCACAGAGTGTTTGTTGTGGGGGAGGAAGGGAAAGGAGAATGTTAGCCGCTTTGAGACTCCTTCGGGTAGTGATAAAGCGGGATATCAAATCCAAACTCTTCTTCTTCTCTTCTTCTACTTTTTGAAAAAGGGCAGGGTGGGGGGAGAGGCTTTTTGAAAAGCACGCAGACAAGATGTGCTGGGGCCTATTTGCCTCCTCCTTGTGTTGCTGCCTGAAGAGGGTTTCACTCACCCTCAGTAAACCCCTCTCCCACATGTAGCTTCATCCACAGAGTTAGTGCAGGCTGATGGTTCTTCTCTTTCAGTTTCCCTGACTCAACTGAGAGAGGGGTGTTAATTCAGTGCCATCATTGCTTGAAAGTCACATCAACTACTGTGTCAGTCTCCACTAGTCCAAACGGAAGACTACAAAAATAGGAAGGCAAACTTTCCAATATCCCTCACACTAAGAAACCCCTTGTTTCTGGCTTAGTGCTGGAGTACAGAATCAACTCCACAGAAATCAGAGCCCTTAGAGAATCAGATAATTACCATTTAATCCACAGTAACATAATTAACTGCAAAATGAATTTCTTGTCGGAAGAAAATTACTCAGGTTAATCTATGAATGCAATCATATACTATATGCACTATAGGTAAAAGGTACCCAGGCTTTTCAGCAGATGAGCAAAGAGGAATTTAGTTCATTCTGAGAAATCCTTAGTGTTTTGGCAGTTAATGGCCAAAAAGTGATATGGAGTGCTGTGGAAGACTCGCACACATAACCAGAGATGTGCTTTGTCATTGAACTTCCATTCCCCAAAGGGCAAGCCACTGTTAAGTATAAAGGCAACATATCTCTTTGGTAGTGGTAGGGCTGCCATATATTCTTTTCTTGTCTTTTTTTGAGTTTTTCACTTTGAAATATAGCAACCCTAGGTAGTGGAAACTATTTTGCAGTTACACATACCAAAAAAACCAACAACCCAGGACAAAGCTCCAGCTGTGAGACTGTTTCCACTTTTTGAGTGTGGGTCACATCTGAATAGATGTTATTTGTTTTAGACGGATTTAAACTGGTTGTTGTTGTTGTTGTTGGTAGTAGTAGTAGTGTGTATTGGTATAAATTTTTAAGTTCTTCTTGCTACCCCTAAGATCTTTTGTGACTACAGTGACCTAAAAATGTGAGTAAATATAAATAAATAACCTAATATAAATGTACCTACTTTTTACCAACAAAGGATATTGGGACAAGCCTGGTGGCAGCCAAACTAAACATATTATAGTCACATAAATAAGCCAAGACTGGATGGTAATCAATGTGATTCCTGTTTCTTTCACAATGCCTTTGATTTTACTTATTTTAACTCACTTCTCTTCCTTTGAAAATTCAAAAAGCTCTCAGGTTTCCCACTACCTGATTAAAAACAGCATGGTTAATAATTCACAAACCAAAGGGCACCAGAGATGAAGAATTCCATATTTAACACAACAATTGCTGAATACTAGCTAAAAATCTACTGTTCTTCTTTGTTGTTGTTATTTTGTTGTGCTTTAAGTTTGGCTGCTTCTGACAAAGAGCTGAAATTAATTCACAATTCTTCTGTGGCTCATCCAAAACAGAGCACATCTCATTAACATTCCATCATAAATCCTCTGAGCTTGAAAGGAAAAGGAAACAATGGGATAAAATCTCACTCTCAAGTAATAAAGATGGAAGCAGACATTCCAGCACAGCATCTAATCACAGTTGGCATGATTTATTTACAGTTTTGCAACTCTTCTGTGGTTTGGCACAATATGAAATTGAGGTTTCACTTGGCAAATGCTTTAACAGTTCCAGTTTTTCCCACTTGGTCAGGGTATAAGATTATATGACTGCTTGCTGCTTTTGACTGTCATGTCAAATCAGATCCAGACCCAACAGAGAGCAGCTATTACCCCAATGACATTCAGCCAATAACTTAACAGAGTCTATCTGAGAAAACAGTGGGATGTCACTAGGGAAACAGCACCATAGGATGCCTGTTCCAATATAAGCCATATAAGAATTCTTAGAATCATTTTCACTAGCAGTTATGCACTTGATACAGCCTTATGTGAATAGCCCATCCACACAAATAGATCCTAAATGATCCAATGAGCCACAGTTTGGCTTACAGACAATTGCAGGACCTCATATTTATATACAAGCAAACACAGCTAGCATGCAACAAAACACACACATTAAATCTTCTTATTGTTCAGCATATCATGCACAAATCCAAATAATCTTTTTACTAGGAAATGATGGTCTGCATAATAAACCCACCAGAAATCAATTGCCACTCCCCCCCCCCTTGAGTCCAAGGCAATTCCAGTGTTTGTTATGTGAAGACCTGGGAGGGTATGTGAGACATTGCCTGCCGTAGGTGCTGTATGAAGTCTGGGCTCAAAGTGTTTATCCTCAAATTGCGTCAGATTCAAGTCAGTAGGCGTGGTAATGGAATCAAGTGCACTATCCTGCTGGCAAAATGGGACCCCGCCCCTGACATGGCTCCTTACACCCCCCATTATTAGTTCAGGGAGTTCTGGAGCACCACTAGAACACCATGCTGGGGGAGGAAAAGGGAGATTGTTCCATTGGCCAAGCTTGCACTGATGACATAATTGGAAAAGCATGATGCTGAATTCCTCCCATTACCTGTTCTCAAACCTTCCTTAGTTGTAAAGCCTAAGCATGCATCCCTTCTTGCACATGAATCCCCACCACCACTGTAAACCTGAGTTAAGCAATACATATGACTGATATTGAACCCATGGCCTCAAAGGGAGTGTTCTTGGATTTTGACTGCCAGAAATAATCACAAACTCAAGTAGAACAGGTGGGGGAGGCACACATATCTGAGAGCAGAGGACAGGGCACAGTGTGGACAATCCTTCAGCTCAATCCCAAAACCTTGATTAGGGCTATAGATCCATGGTAGAGCATTTGCTCTGCATGCAAATGGTCCCAAATTCAGTCCCTGGCATATCTAGGTAGGGCTGGAGAAGCCTTCTGTCTGAACTCTGGAGAGCCACTGCTATTCAATGTGCACCAACAGTCTGACTCAAAATACAAGGTTCCATTGTTACAATGCACATATGTACCAGACTTTGGAGACTCTAGATATAATTTATATACTCTAAACACAAACACACACACACTAGCAGTCTAAGAAATCCAGTGTAAAGATAGCGGAAGAGCTGTAACTAAGTGGTAGAAGACATGCTTTGTATGCAGAAGGTCCAGGTTCAATCTCCAGCATTTCTGGATATGTGTGGAGAATCCCATGCCTGAAACCCTGGAAAAACTCTGTCAAGTAAATTGTGTTTTCTGTTTCCAATTGTTCAGAACTATTTTAAGCAGACCAAAGCAGCAGCAGCACACTCACTGTTAAAATCTATCACAACTGGCTAAATCCACACAGCCCGAAAGAAATACATATAATTCTGAGTGGTTTGACCATTGCACTCACGTAGTATGATCAGTCAACGGTCTATGGCCCTCTCCACCTGGGTGGATGCTGGCTCCTTTTCCAAGGCCCCACTGGAATATATTAACAGTATGGGATGAAGCTCTTGTTGCCACTTGAGCAGCAGGCTGATACCATTCACAGAAGTTTCCACTGTCAAAGTCACAAGCATCTGAGGCTATTGAAACAAGAAAGAAAAGAACATTGGAATTATATTGAACAATATAGACATGAAATGTCATTTCATTTCCATGGACAGTTTAGCTAGTTTCTTTACAAGGCACTAGTAGTTGCTGTGTGAACGCTCTCACTGGTATTCTGTGTCAGAGCAATGCAAACTTTGTTATTGCAAGCAATAAGAGCCTGCCCAAAATGTTCTCCCCCCATGATGGTTTTTAGCCTTTTTATGATATACTGTATTGAAAGGTGTGTTCTAAACTGAAGGGTGGGACATTGAAATTTCCAAACAACCAACAAAAATGGTTCTGGCTGGCTACTGCTCTATGATCCACACAATTGTTAAAGCATGATTTTGTATTTGTGTCTCTTCCAAGAGAGCAGATTTAACATACTATTTTCCTGAATGTTTCTTTTATAGCTCTGCTTAAAAGCAACCCCTCCCCTCATTTCAAAAAGTTAGCTTTTGTAGTATTAAACAAAATATTGTTCTCCTTCTGAACAGTAGTAATAAGTGAAGGGGTTTTGTTCTTATAATAATTGTTCCTAAATTTAGGCTGTCAATGGTACTGGTGACATGACAGCCTGTTATGTTCCTAGGTATGACAACTGATGTGAAGGCTTTTGCCTTTTATAAATAAAGAATTCATTTATTCAATAAAACCACAAAGCTATTTTGAAGTCTGTGGCATCTCTGTCAAGTTTGAAAAGCCACTGTCTCCAGAATATTTATTTAACAAGAATGAAACAGAATATATATATTAAATTCATTAACTGTTATGGAACCATTAAGACCTACCATGTGTTATGCAGAGCAAATTTTTAGGTTGAGCTTTTTGGTTATGAGCTATTAAATTGGCTCTATCAAGTACTATGAAATCAACAATAATTATACAGTGCTCCTGTAGGCTTATTTTGCATAAGAAACCAAGCTAGATAACTTAATGGCACATATTTTCAACTCATTGCTTCAAATTTCCATAGCCTTTTGCATGCAGATGAGTGCAAAGGTGCTTTGTAGTCATTGGTCAGTTTAGTAAACCAAACAATTATATGTAACTTTAAAAAGTGAGAAATGGGCAGAAGAATGCATGCTGGAGGCATTTCTTCTAAATTACTGCCATTTCAAATCCCAGCATCATACGAAAGAGCACACAACAGTTTCTTTGAGCGAAACACCTAAACTGAATTACTTTGAGAATGGGGAAGATACAAAATGATCACAAAACAGAGAAACCAGTAGGAGAACACTTCAATCTCCCAGGACATTCTATACAAGATCTCAAAGTAGCTGTTTTACTACAAAGGAATTTCAGAAATAGACTGGAAAGAGAAGCTGCTGAATTGCAACTCATTACCAAACTTAAAACCATGGAGAGACCTGGTCTGAACAAAGACATTGGATTCTTATCTCATTATACATGACTAAGCCATTTTTCACCTTCTCACCCCTTGCCTTCTCCTGTAAGACCTATTGCAGTCGTTAAGAGTCATCAACAGGCTCATCTCAGCTATCTGCCAATCACCCATTCCCACCACCCTTCTGAGTAATACCCCTCCCCACCTTCTCACTATATAGAAGGATCTGGCAACTTCTGTTTCAGTGTATCTGAAGAAGTGTGCATGCACACGAAAGCTCATACCAAGAACTAACTTAGTTGGTCTTTAAGGTGCTACTGGAAGGAAATTTTTTATTTTTTAAAAAAATTGAGATATGCACATAGAATAGCAATCTAATATGAACATGGAATAGCAACATGAAATAATCAGGTCAACTTAATGCATCAGTATTCATTAATAATTCTTATGCTCACCACAAGATGACTCATCAGATCTGTCAGAACAATCAGGACGGAAATCACACTTCTGGGTGATATTGATGCATCGGCCAGTGGCTCTGCAGATGAATTCTTTTTCTGTACAGTTGTTCATAGGAAGTGTCACGGGAATGGATGTCCCTGAAGGAGTTGTTGAATCAACTGGCAAATTCCCTTAAGAAGCAAATGGTTACAGTTATCTCTTATGAGTTTCGCAAATACCCTATTTTTTCATATATGAGGAATGGCCCTTAGCATGGAAAGCAAGCCCAATGAGAAGAGGTTTAACCTGGAGAAAAGAAGACTGAGCGGGTGACATTCAAATAGCTGGGCAGGTGTAGGTGTTTGCTCTTTGCAAGATCTAATGCACTTAAGTTATAGGAGGATAGGGGTTTTTTTGTTGAACAGTAAGCGATACTCCTTGACTCTAAGAGCCATTCAACAGTGGAACCAATTACCTGGAAAGGCGGTGGGTTCTCCCTCATATAGAGGGATAGTCTAGCTCTGGAATTCTTGCTTTGAGCAGGGGATTGGACTAGGTGGTCTACAAAGCTCTGTCTAACTCAACGATTCTATGACTTCTTCCAAAATAGCTATTCATTTTCCTGCATTCTGCATTTCTGGGATTGGGAACTTCATTTGCATGCGAACTGTAAGTCACAATTTGGCCACACTAAAAGTTTTAAGTCTAGATTTCTCCTTACCGTTGTAAAGTGTGCAGTTCATAAAAGATAGGTCATCAATTCCAATGTCTCCAGTGAAGCCATCCCCCACAGTACCTTCCACCAAGATCTAAGAAAAAGCAATAATTAAAAAGCCATCTGTCACCGCCACTGAGAGGATTTCCACTTCTAATTACATGTTTAATATCCATTTATACCCCTCCCCTCAAAAGAGTACGATTTTGACTTTTTATGAAGCGCTTATAGCCTTTCTTGAGGATAAACTGTGTTTATGAGAGAAACTAATCATGATTAACTCTCCCTGGTGCTCCTTTTAATCACAAGGAACACTTAAAGCATTAGTGTGGTTGGCTACACAGCCATGTGTAAGCCCATTAAAATATCACTGTAATATAGAATTATGGCAAGATTCTATAGTTAGAGCCTCATCATTGTTAGCACATTCAGTAGTAATCATTACATAATTAATCATGGTTAATGATTTCAGTCATCATGTGTCTGAAGCATAATATTAGGGGAATACCATTAAAATGAACCAAAATGAAGATGCTATTATATTATTTGATGAACAGTAAAGAAATAGCATTTCAAGAAATGGTATTAGAGAACAGACTTTCTATATGGAGGTTCCCTTTAGATGTCACCCCAGCCACATGTGAGGCCTTATCCTGGAAGCACATGTATATGACTCAACTACATGGGCAGGAATGAATCACAAGAACTTCACATCATGCTGAAAATATGAAGGAGCTGCTCAGAGTGAAGGAGCTCCCAAATGACTAAAGAAGATCTAATAGATATCTGACTATAATCAATATCCGTGGTATTATGGTTTTTATCTTATGCTAAATAAAGTGGTGCAACCTAAATTAAACTCCAGTTCAAATACAATGGGTTGGACTCAACATAACACTAAGTTGCTGGTTTGGTCAGCAAAGATTTCTACTTGTGCAATGTAACATTCTCTCCATCTCCTTACCCCATGCACCCCATAAATCTGTTCTGGGGTTTCCCCTAGCCCTATGGAGAATATTTGAGGCCAGTGTGGGGCATGTGGGGGGAGAAGACATAAAGCCCAGTTGCACTGGCAGTAATCCTTCTGCCAGTGCTTTTATTTAGTTAAATAGTTATATTTCATTATGTCCAGAGTTTAAAGGATTTGCCTTGACAGAAAGACACCCAGGTAGCTCCCCAATTAAGCTGCCCCTGAAGTCTGGAGAAGCTTCGAAAGTGGCGTGCCATATGAGATGTAAGGCACTGTCACTGGGAAGGAATACAAACAAAGACAGAGGGACACTTTTTTCTCGTGAGTTCTTTTAGATCTTGTCCACAGTATTTTAGATTGGGGAGCTCATATTCTGTCTTAGTCTTGGACACTGTTAAATACATTTGGGCATTCTTTATCAGCACAAAAGATGGAGAGCCTGATTATCTGGTCTGATTCCAAAATCTATTATTGGAAACAGTTAAAATGAAGGATTTATGCCAAGGGCCCTTCAACCTGGAGAGAACTAACCAGGGTAGAATAGTGAGAACACGGTCAAATAAGGAACATGAGGACACATTCCCAACATATGTGCCTGTGTGCGCTTTTCTTGCTTCCTTCCTACAGTTTCTTCCTTCCTACACACCCTAAGAAGTTTTAATATCAAGGCCTAACTGGATGAGATGACATTAAAATCCCCCATCTCTTTAAATTTTATAAATTTCCAGTTTTGGAAAAGGACAGATTAGCCTTTCCCAGTCTGGGTAGTACCATCCATGTAGATAGCATAATTTCCAACATCAGCTATGTAATACAGGAAGTAGATCAAAACTGCACATTCAGATGTCATGTGGTTTGGGGAAATGATTGAACGCCTATAAAACCCTTGCATGCACATGCCCTACAATAATGCTCTCGTCAATCATAAAAAGCAGACACATGAATCCCACAGTCTGGATAAACAGAAAGATACATCTTAGTTTCAATATTAGACTTCCATGCGCCATAAGCTACAGGTGACAATTTAGACAATACATCCATATTTTTCAAAACTAAAGAGTGACAGGAAAAAAATAAGCTGGAAAAGTGCAACTTAAATTGTAATGCAACTGATATTTTCAAAAACAAATGTTACTCATCAGACATTTACATAAGATGATGTTCTTTTCAGTTCTGTATCATTGGCATTTAGGTGAGGGAATGAAGGATGGGGGATGTGGTAAACAGATTCAGGTCAAATGTGGGAGTGTATGTTTAGACATTATGTATTGCTACATCCTTTCTCCTGCAGCTAATTAGTTCTTGTAAATATTTTCACTTTTGGAAAACTAGCAATGAATAACAAATAGGAAGGATTCTTGCAAGATACAAAAAGAATGAGTGTCTGTTTTTACCATGCCAGGAGCTTCCCTTTGATAGGTAGGCAAACTCCAGTTAGCTACAATTCAGTGCAGATAAAGTAAATTTGCCAATAGAAGTGTGAATATGGGAGAATAATAACGTAAAAGGAATTCATCCTAAGAGACTGTCAAAGGAAGAAAAATACCAAGACTGCATTACAATAAACATATAGTCAAAATTATTTGTGTACAATGCCACATTATTTCCAAAATTAGTCTAAATATTCAATTTGGGGTTTTCCTTTATTTAATATGTTACGGATAAATAATAGCCTTGCTTCGGGTAATGGGATATTGATTATAAAGTATAACACATTCTTTCAGGCTGGTCTTGGAGGCAGAGTACACATGATGTGTACACAATACATATCTATCCTGTGTCTGTCCTAGCTGTGTTTTAAGTTCAGTACTGGGTACACAGATTTGTGTCACTTATTAAATAGAGGAGGAGACAGTAGCATGAACTGTTGGAGCTAGGTCTTCATTCAGGAAAGGGTACACTTGGCAAACCAAATAGAGGTGGCAAAAGACATTCCTGGCTACCACTGTCACCTGCACATTTGTAACTGAGGCAAAATCAAGAGTACCTACCCCCAAACAAAAAAAACTCTTTTAGAACAGGTTGAATACTTCTTCCAGACCCATCAGTACCACTAACCAATAGTAACTGTTTTGTCTGGATGTTATTTTTAAAATTAGAAATACTTACTGTACATTCTGGACCTGTCATCATCTGACACAGTTGCCATCCTCTCCTGCCCATTTCCCACCCTTATACTCAACTGCATTCACAGACTTCAAACTAATTTTCATTAATTGAGAACATTAATTGAGAAAATCCTGATAGTATGGTTTCTGCTGTTTCCAAACTGGGAGCTCTTAGGTCCAAACAAGAAGTTACTTTAAGTGCATAGCAAGTTACTGTGTGCTTTTCTTTTCCATATTTACTGACTGGTGCTGAGGTGGCCGATTTTAATTGGGATTACAGGACGAGGCAATGGGATGATTAACCTTTTCCTTGGCAGCTGTGATCCCAATCACACCCACCCCTGAGGCTTAGGGAGGGGCAAAGACCCACCACACCTGTAATCAAACACGTAAAAATATAGCACAACACAACTGACCCTTAGATATATCCAAGATAATTCTTACAAGTTGGCCTAAGCAATCTTGATTTCTGCTCTTTGTGATACATGGCAAAGAGGTTTTTCACAAAACTCCAAAGAAAAATTAAATGTTCTGCCATAGCTACCAATGTAAAGGTGCAAATAGTATCAGTTTCTTATCTACTTTTTTTGTAGTGAAGAAAGATTTGTCAGAATTTGGTTCCAAAATGCAAGCCATTTTAAAAAGCATCTGCCAGCTGAGTATGTGCAAACCTCAGATTCCATTATATATACTGTACCATCCTCCAGGGAACTCATTTACCATGAAGCTAATTTCACATCTCATTTATTATCTGAAAGAGGATAAATAGTTCCCGGTTTCTTTTAGCTCTAAGAACTTTGCAGATCTAGCTTGAATGAAACTTACAAGGCTCATACGTAGTTGGTCAAATATTACATAAGAAATAATTCTCTGTAAATGAGAATTATACATTATATTTAACTTACTGTATATTAAAGAGAAATACTGATTATTTTTAGAACAAATTGAACTTTCTGTTATCTAAAACTGCTGCAGTAAGGACAAAGCTGATGCTATGGAAATTCATAGGTTAATATGTCTCTTGGCAGATATGAAAGCAATTCCTTCCAACAGTAGTATGACCCATTCTTCCCAATTCCTCCATAAGTTCTGTGGTTATTCAGAATGTATAGTTATTTAATCTACCTTCTGAGATTTTGAGAAGTTAACTTTGTGTTTTATAGCTGCTGGATTTTTCTTTTACTTTTTTCACAGCTCGTTTTATTCTGCGGTTTTATGGTATTTTAATATATACATGTGTGTTTACATTTCTTATTGTTTTAATTTGGGTGTATGTGTGCCATCTTCTATTTCTATTCTATTTTCAAAAGCAGAGTAGATTGTTTGTTTGGCCACAGAATGTGCACAGAATATTGGAAACATGAAATAATGAACAAGTGTGGGTCTTGATGTTGCAAGATAGACTAACAGGCAGCATGTGCTAACAGCTTCCATCTTATCAGCCTGAGACCTAAAAGGAAGCGGGAAATTGTGTTGGACGGTTAATTAATTCAGACCCCAATTTTCCCCAGATCCTGGAGTTGTAAGCCACTTTAAAGGACCACAGAGGGAAAGCCCATGTCCCTTTGCCTCTAGAGTGGCTACTGATTCATCACTTTAAAAAAAGGCAATGCATCACCAAAAAAAGAAAAGAAAAGAAAAAAAGAAGACATAGTTTTGTGTCATATCTGCATATGCTAATTTATTTATAGAGAAGCAAATCTAGAAATAATGACTATAATTTACATAGAAATATAATCCATTTTAGCAGCGTTTGGAAGACTGAGACTAGGTGAACTTTGTGCCTGCATAGTGTGCTGTCCAGGTACCAACGGTTGATGGACAACTTCAAGGCCCCTGCTGTCCCTTCCTATTTTTAAATAAGACTTGGGTCACACAGTCTTTCAAATAGAGGTCTGCCCTCTGTAAAGTAGGACACATCACTCCCCTAAACTCCTCTGTCTGCAAATGAGTCGCAATCTCTCTTCCCCTCTTTGTTGCAATTTAGTTGTTGTGCATTAGGAGCGCAGACCAAGCTGATCTGGTGGTGGAAAGATGCCATGCAAGTCATCCCACTCCTGTTCCTGTCCTATCCTTGCCCCACCTCTGCCTATTTCTCTATTTCTCTATGCTGTCACCATGATGCATCCTGTTGTGACTGAATGTGTTATATGCTCTAGGCAAGTCAGTCTTTTCCAGATCTATGTGTTTACAGCAAAATGTAAACCAAGTTTTCTTGGATACTTTTTTCTACAGAACTGTGTAAGAGGAAAGACAAAGTAAAATATCTTTGTCTATAACACACTCATTTTCCTCCCTAAAGTTTAACGAATCAGCTATTTATGATTAATCATATAAGGCATCCTATAGCTAAAACTATTTTGAGAAACAAATGCTTAACTGGTTATAAATCATTAAATTGATCTAAGTAGCCAAGGCACAGAAAACTTTTCAGAGATAGGCCTTCATTCCTTTAAACAACACAGAAGAAACCATGAGATGAAAAATGAGATAAGATATAAGCAAATATGATAAATGCAAAGCAATTAATTTTAATCCAGTGTTTCAAAATTAAGAAAATTGACTTTAAAGTCAATGTCATTTTTCATCACGTTGTTGCTAATGCCAAAAATTGGGTCTATTTTTCATTTTAACACAGTGGGAGCTGAATCAAAAAGTCTTCGTATTGGAACTAATTAGAAACTTATTGCTTCCTCCTCTTCTGTTTCCCCTGCCCCATCTTTTCAGTAGCGACTAAATGCTTTTTTTCTGAACCCATTTTTTATGTTCCTAAAAAACTAAGTGATGTACAATGGACCCTTTCCACAGGTTCACAAGTCAAAAGTATTATGAAATGAAAGTTTGTTCAAAAAAGGATGTGAAGGCCTAGGATTTCACAGAAGATGGGCATCTGGTAGACAAGGATCTGACTGTAAGGGAGTTCACCTGCTCGCAAGCACTGTTTATGTAGACTGTGTGGCAAAACCTATTCAGCAACACCAAATGTTCCTTTGGTAAAGCCTTGCCCTGGACAATTCAGAAAAAAGTTAAGTCTTGCTTACACCTGAAGATCAGAGGGACTGGCTATCCCTCTGTACTAAAAGTGTCAAGAGCTTGCTGTGAGCCACTGTTGTTTGCTAATTATCCCATTGTGATTGGAGACCCATGGACAGTTTTATGGTACTACAAACTTACAGTATGGGCAAATTTATTGTTCTGGGACCACATGAGCCATGTACTTACTTCTAGTTGTACTGTCAAATAAAACTGAGCTGTATCTCTTCCATTTTGTAGTCTGGATTTCTGTTCCAGTGTACATGGCTTCTTTGATGCAGACAACTTTCCTATTTCTGAGACTGCAATATTCCCCAAGAATAAGTCCCTTAGACCTCAGCTGGATTACATCTGAGTAGACATGTATAGCATGTTGTGAATTTCATGTTAGACTTAAACAACATGAAAGTAAAGCAGTCTGACAGCAAATTATTTTGGCACAAAGTAATATTTTCTGTTAGTTTATGCTAGGGACTAGTGCAAACATCAAGTTTCTTCCAGCTCAGACTTTGGTAACTTGCCTATGGATAGCGATGTGACCAACAAAGACTGTATCTGCAGGACGTCAAGAGGAATCTAATATTTGAGAGTGTATGAATAAATATTTGGTTATTTAAATAGGTTGCTCTTTCAAGTACCGAATAATTCTTCACTCTCTAATGTTATGTAAATCATTGTTGCAGTTTTTCATGCAAAATTGCACACTAAATTCCCATTCTCAGCATTTTAGCAAATTCAGTCTAGGATATGTGGATAATGAGAATCACAAAAAGCAGCAGGGGTAATCAACTTATACGATGTAGCTATGTATGAACAGAACTTTGTAAGAGTCGTTAATAAAGACCTGCAGCAGTTATTATGGAATAATAAGATATTAGAGGCATTTTTAGTGGTTTCTTATAATTTGGCAGCGCCACATGGGGGCAATTAACAGTTTCCAACCACACAGAATGGATAAAATCCAGCACATCTTAGGAGCAAATGTTAGGTGATAAACAAGCAAACTACTTGATGCCCTAAACTAACATTATGGGTACCTGATTACAGAGGCCTTTAGATTTCTATAGCTATTATTAAAGGCATAAGAAAGACTTTTTTGTATACCATTTTGTCACTGCTAGCCATTTATGTTTAATATATTTGATTAGTCTGAAACAACAGAGGAAACTCAAAGAACTATATGGGGGGGGGGAGAGTATAGAGTAGCACTGTACTCTGTGAATGAAACTTGCATCAGGAATTGATTTCCCACTGAAGAGAAAATCAAAGACTGAATGACACAGATCCAAAATTCACTTCCATGGATGGAATGAGTTCACATTTATGAAACAGAACTTTTCCACCTATAACCTTCCACTGCAGCCTCCTGCATTCCACACCATATTGTGGCCTTCCCTCATTTTATGATCTTTTAGATGTGGCAGCCATTTTGTGCTATGCTACACCAAACACACAGCTATTTTGTGACTGATGCCCACAACACTTCCACAGAATTCAAAATGTGCCCACTGGCCCCTAAAGGTTAGTGATCCCTTTACAACATATTTTGGTGTTAAATAGCCACAAAAGATATGCCCAGTTAATGTCTGGTCAGAAATTGGTTCAAAGGAAATGTGATCTAACAGTCAAACTTCCATTTGGAAAGGAAAGGAAAGGAAAAATCTTCATAAACGTTTCATGTCACTCTAAGCAAGCATACCTGAAATGGCTCTGAACTCTCAACGTAGAGCACTTCCTTTATCCATCTGTCGCCTTGATCGCCAAATGTTTGCCACAGCAGCTGTCCTCTTGTATTGCTCACAGTTCTCTGGGAAACTGCCAGCCTGTAAATGTGCTTTCCAAACATATGATAATGGAAGCGAAAAATGCAGCTTTTCTTTCCATGTGCAAAGGTAGAGTTAAAGACTGGGCTTAGCAAAGCGGCTTGGTTTTGGAACATCTGTGGCTCTGAAGACTCAATGTAAAGATAATGCCCTTTGGCTGTGCCCAAAGTGTGGTCCTTCATTGGCCCGGTGTTAAAAGTGGAGGTTGGCCCTTGGTTTCTGGTCCAGTCGAAGTCATCATCCACATCTTGTTCCCAGTTGCAGAGGCCAAGTTCAAAGTCGCACTGCAGCTCAGTTGCTGAAACCAGTGAATGTATATGCCTTTGATTTTTAAATGCCAGAGAGATGCCACATTCCCCCCCCCCCAGAACACCTCAGGTCAATACTATATGTGGGGCATTCTGCACAGAAGAAACTGGTGGCTGCCAGTTGTCAGCTGCTGAGAGGAGCTCTACTCGCACCCATGACAGCAGAGCTTCAAAAACAGGACTTTGTTGTTTTTAAAAGGGCTGCTGCCACTCTTGCTAACAGTAAGCCCCCCCCCACTCTGTACCTTGTACAGATCCCGTCTCCCAGAACTAGCCACCTGTGAATGCAGGCAGCAAATTTGGTGAGGCCACTTTCGCTCAAGCAATACTGTCATATGTATCTATTTTCGGACACTTTCAATGACGAACGATAACTAACTTACATTGGTTAGCGTAAACTAATGGGATGTGTTAAATTGTTAGGCTTCTCATGCAGAAAATTCAACTGATTTCCTACTTATTCTTAGCACTGTGCTAAGAGTGAGGCACCATTTAAAAGTTTGTAGGAAATCAGCAAATGTTAAGCCAAAGTGAGCAAAGGACTGCATTTTCTAAAATTCAGTTTCCACAGGCCTTGGTTTCTTTACGGGTGCAATCCTTCCCTCTTCTAAGTACTCAGTGTGCTAGGTCTACTGAAGTGAACAGAACTGTGATATCGCCTGAGACGCAAGCACAAGATTTACTCAGTGCTTGAAGTTGACCATTGCAATTTAAGGGGAAATGTTTCAATGTCTTACCGCATTTGTCTTCATCAGATCCATCTCCACAGTCATCAACAAGATCACACAATAACAAACTGTTGATGCAAGCCTTTGAGTCTTGGCACCAGAAATGATCAGGGCCTTCGCAGTTTAATGCTGGAGGTGGCATTGCACAGTTCTCAAATGTTATATCATCAATTGCTGAGACACCATCATAAAATCCAAGGCTGACTTTATCTAGAGATAATTGAAATGGGTGTGGAAGGCGGCCAAGTTGAATGAAACCCTTTAGCCACTGATCTCCTTGATTGTAATATATCCTCCAAAGGGCTGTAGGATCTTTTTGTCCATCAACAAGCAATTGCATTTCTGCTGCTCCAACTGATAGTCCATAGTTGTAATACCTGAGAAGGGAGTCTAAAAGTTAGGGATCAACACCAACAATACACTGAACAAATGCACACAGAGAGTCCAAATTTGTTCTCAAACACCTTTTTTTGTAGTGTACCTGTGCTTTGCTTGAGACACCAGGTTGTTACTTGAATTGACGCAGTTTAATCATGTGAGAAGGATAGACTGTCTTTCCTGACAATTATTGTTGGCCTTTTTTTGACCCTTCCAATACTAATACTGCATATAAAGAGATTTACATACAAAAAACAAATGCAGTATCTGTATAATTCATTAATACTAAGCAGAATTATAGCTGAAATGAGTCTAACCAATTGGTGCTATTTAAAGTGCGTAAGATCAGGAACACTGGCTTATCTACTCTTAATCAGGCTTCAGATTTTTAATCATTTAAACACTTTGAATTTGAGAGAACTTTGGATTTTTGAAGGGAATTTAAAATGTCATGGGCTCACAGAGACAGAAATGGCTAAGGTATTTTCAAGGATACAGAAACTCGAAAACTACAGTCAAGGAGTTCAAGTTTCATTGTTAATCAGCCTGGTATGATCCTCTTTCTATTTCCTTTAAGAAGGACTGCTGGAAGGCTGAAGCCAGAAAGAACAAAACAGAAAAATCAGCCCCAAGAACGTTAAACTATCCAGTCAGAAAGAACTAGGAAATGATTTCTGACCGAAGTCCAAAATAAAATTAGAATTCACAAAATAATAGAGATGCTGTTGTTTAAATAGCACAAAATATTAATTAAATGATTTTAATTCAATTGAGTCTGGGGGCGGACCTACACATGATTTTTAACGTTAAGGGTTAAGGAATGGTTCTGATAACCATATGGCCACATGACGTTCTACTTTTAACATTTATAATGCCTTATTAAAATGTGACACCAGAGGGCGCTGCAGAGCAACCAGCAACTAGTAGTAGGGAGACAGTGTTTTGATAGAGGTAAGAAAAGGTTTACTTTAGAAGTATGCCCTGTAACATTTTAGAACAATATATCTAATATTGTTCTAATAACGTTAAACAGGTCAGTGTAGATCCAGCCTAGAATTTAGTACACTACCACATGAAATACTTTGAATAGTTTGAAATCAATGATTTTGTCAGAGCAGTGGTGCAAGACTTGGTGCTATATCAATGTAATATGGTAATCATTGTAATAAACCAGGAGTTACACTAGTAGAAATGGGCCATAATCAGAATATACCAAGTAGTCAGATGTAGAAGCTGTAAATGTGTTCAAAGGGTTTAACATTTTTCTTGGGTAGTGAATTTATCCAAATCTACTTTCAAAACAAATACTAAAAATGCATTCCACATATTGCAGAACAAAGCACATACAATGACAAACACTGTCCTCTTTTTCATTTCAAAGGCAGCCGTGTCTTCCTCTAAACACAAAAATCAAACTTCATTCATACCAGAAGGTCATTGTGCAACCTGATCCAGCCTGGCTAAATTTGGGGCTTCGTAGCTGTGCAGTCTGTGAGAAACTGCTGCTGTTTCTTAGAATGAACATAAAGTGGCCTGTTAAGAAGAGCAAAATGAAATTATTTTCCCACTAAGTACATATAATAATTAATAATAATAATTTTATTATTTACACCCCGCCCATCTGACTGGGTTTTCACAGCAACTCTGGGTGGCTTACCGCATATCTAAAAACATAATAAAAAAGCCACACAAATCTGTACTACATCCCTTGAAAAGTGTACTGACATAAAATTGCACCTATGGATGGTTTTCCTACTTAGATTGATTGAGATCATGCCTCGCATGACTATGTAGCAACCTTAGTCACATGTCCTGTATTTACTTTTAAAATAATGCTTTTTTTCCCTGGTTTTCCAATAAGTGCCAGGTGACTGGGTCTAGGAGTCACCACCATTTTCATTCCTACAATGCCCCCAATATTGTGGGAAATTAAAATGGTGGTGGCTCCAAGACTTTGTCATCCCCTGATCATTAGAGTGCATTATGCTGCTGCCCACCATAACCACCAGGAAAACATCCCAGAGAAACCCCCTTATATAGGATAGGAACCACCAAAGAATATTGTGCTGAGGTCCCACTCACACCTGAAGCTGCCCATGGGTAAGACCTTACCTGCAGGTTGGTTATAGGTGTGGTCCCGTGCTGGAGCTTGCTTCTGGAAAGCAGGGGGTAGACCGCTTCTGGAGCTCCTTACCCAATCAAATGCATCACCCCTGGCTGTTTCCATCCAGCCACAGCTGTCTGTTTCAAAGTCACATTTAGGAGCTGGAATATATATATTTATTTTAGTGCATCAATTTATCTGACAGGTTAGCAACCAGTGTATACAGAAGGACAAGATGCAGTTGGAAGGGGAGGTGAATTGGAAGGTGCCTAATTAGAAAGTGCTGCAGCCCTGCAACCACCACACTACTTCCTATGCTGTTCTGGAGGGTTCCTCAACCTTCCAAGGCAGTTATTTGGAGGTGCAACGGATTGCACAGGGAAGGGAGACCCAAGAGCACCTGGTTCTATGAACAAAACAGAGTTTGCACAACTTGTACACTTAAAAACAAATTGGTGGGCCAAGGGATCAAATAAAGTCCATGCATGATCTGGAGTAGGCTTCCTCAATCTTGGCCCTCCAGATGTTTTGAGACTACAATTCCCATCATCTCTGACCACTGGTCCTGCTAGCTAGGGATCATGGGAGTTGTAGGCCAAAAACATTTGGAGGGCCAAGGTTGAGGAAGCCTGATCTAGAGTATTATTTAGCTTTGAATAGATGTGTTCACAAGCTCCAGCTTTGCTCCTGTTTCCACATGCCAGACATGTGTGAATCATCCTTATCAAATCAGTTAGAACACTATAGAGCCCTGCTGTGAGTGTCTGTATTAAGAGAGAGACAAGGCTGTTTTAAGAAAGCAAAGCTGGAAGCAAAGCTGAATTCCTCCTTTGAAAAGTGAAGCTCTAGATATCACTTTCTGAGGTTCTGTTATTCTGACGAGTCATTTTCAATTTTAGTTTTAACCTGAGAAGTAGCCACAACTGTACACAAAGACATCAATAAAGACGCTGGGTGAAAGTGCTTCACCTTCTGCGTGGTTTGTCTTAATTAACTGATCCTCCTAATGAAATAGCCATAAGGCTATTGACATGCACATTTAAAGATCTTTAAGCATGAATTACAGATCAATGTGTTTTCACTTACAGCACAGGGCTTCGTCACTGCCATCTGGGCAATCAGGAGTGAAATCACAAAACTTGTCAGAAGTAATACCGTCTCCATTCTTACATGCCAACAATCCAGGTGGACAATAAAGAGATGAAGAATCAGAGGTTTCCAAGATTGTTGCCCCTTAAAAAAAAACAACACAGTTGCTTATTCTTGCCAGGAAAAAAACCAGCAGATAAAACTTTAAGTATTATCTACAGAACACATTTGCCATATTTTTGGCTCAGGGGTAGAGCACATGCTTTGTATGCAAAAAATTCCAAGACTGAAATCCTAGTATTTCCAGATAAATGGGTCAGGTAGCAGGAGATAGAAAAGCTCTCTGCTTGAGACCCTGGAGATCAGCTCTCAGTCAGAGAAAACAGTACTAGACTAGATGTTAATCCTACTCAGAGTAGATCCACTGAAATAAGTGGGCATGACTTTCTTAATCACATTAATTCCCGTAGGTTTACACTGAATAAAACATAGTTGAATTTCACCCAGTGAGTAAACTTTTGTTGGCTATAACCCCCAATCCTTTCCTGCCTTAGCAACACTTCTTCTTTCCCTTCAACTAATGTATTCAATATATTCTTCAGTCTGCAGAAGTAGTGGGGTTTTAATTCAATGTTTGTTGCTGTATGATCAGGAGAAAGGCTTGCAAAATTGTCCTGATCTTGTGGGCCATCAATGGTCAATGGCTTTACAAATCCATAGCTTAAATTCTGCAGGTTCCATGACAGTCAGAAGATTCTGTACCACGTGCCAAATTCTGCACATACTGAATCACATAATAATGTGAGTCTTGCATTGGACTACATCTGATAAGACTTCTGTAAATTATTCTCCTGCATGTGGTGAGAACTGAGAGACTCCCTACTCGATATTACTTCACTGTTTTGAATACTGCTAGCTATTCACACAGGGCCCTTATGTCTAATTGGGGAATACTCATGTACAAACCCATGCACACAGGCTCAAACTGTGATGTCCAAGATGTCCAATATACAGTCTAGAGATTAAATATGTGATTTGAGTCTTTATGTACAGAACTGTATGTGCATATGCACCAACTGGGCATGCATGTAAGGCAGCATGGAGGCAAGCAAAGCTTGCCCCACCCTTCTTAGGGTATACTTGAGTATCTGTCATTGGCCATTGAATAGATGTAAACTCTGACATGCATGATTCTAAGACATCCTCAAAACATAGGTACTGATACAAAAACCTATACTTGGGAATCAGCTACACAGCTGTGTTTTAAGCACATTATACAAATGTGACACTAGATTGTGATTGTGAACAAATTCAATATATATTTTTAAAACTTTTTTAAAAAAAAACATTTTCATAGCGTTTTTTATATGTGTCTAGATTCCACCCCAGAATGCACACAAAAATCAATCATATGGAACCAAACAAAAACCAAATCACAAAACCTCATAAACTTGTAATAAGCCTGCTGATTCCAGCTAAGACGGCAGCCCTTTATCAACTCAACTGGGAGTAAGTGCCATTGAACTTCACTCCATGGAACTTCTTCTGAGTAGACATGTATAGAATGGCGCTGTAACTATACCATGCCTAAGTAATATATTTTGGTGGAAGCATAAACAAAGGGAGAACAATTAAATAGGTCAGCAAACCAATTTGAAAATGCTGCTCTGTACTTACCTTTTTGTTCAGTACTTGAAAATGATTTATAATTAGTCCTACAGGCCTTTGTTATACTGATGTCATCAACAGCAACAAAGGCTTTTGTTGACTGAACAGTGGCTTGTAGAATTATCTGCAATACCAATAAAATAACCTTATTAAATACTACTTATACATGTATGCTCTGTGTTTAAAAATTAAATACACTTGAAGTTAAATTCCATCTGCAAATAGCCTGGGATTTTTTCAAAAGAATATGCAACTATTTTAGCAAACAATACCATAGATATGTCAATTCCTCAAGTCTCGTTAATAATCACATTTAGTATTGAACTACGGTATGTAATCTAAAAAATATTATCTCACTCCAAAGTCAAAACATAAGCCTCATTCATCAATCAATCAATTCTTTATTGCAGTCCAAAGACCCAACAGAGTTCAATGCATACAATATACATTCATAGCATATAAAATACATTAAAAGCACACAAACTGCTTGGGCAGATCATAAGACTATGACTTTTCAGACTTTTGTCTAATACAAATTGATCTCTGATCTTGGCCACCTCAGACAGAAACTTGGCAACAGCCAAAGTCACACTAGGAATCCTATCATCCAGTAGGAACTTGGAATAGAAATGGCATAGAATTTCCCTGTAGATTTGCCAATAGTGGGTTACTCATATGTTGTCGGGTCTGCTTATAGTCTTCAGGACAGGAGAATGTGCTTCGTGCATTCTACTTCCTGATTACTACAGGGAGAAAATCTTGCAAAGTAAGGAACAGCGGTAAATTTACCTCGGAGCATTTCCGAGGGGAACACATTAAATCTGGACATAGTAAAAAGTCTATGATAATTGACAACTGTTAAATTCTTTAAATATTCAGCTGTGAAAAACAACCCGACATACTGTATACTCATGGCATTCGGTGAGCAGGATGAGTATGAACAGGCCTGCAAATCACAGAAGGCAATATCCCACAATCTTTGTTTTACTGAATTAAGAGCAGTGTAATACCCCATTATGTAAGAGAAGGTCTGAGGACAAACCAATTGAAGCATCTTTTGGGGCAATAAGTTTGGACCAACAACTGAAGTACTCATCCTGAGATAAATGTAGGAGTGACCCTGTGCCCAGTTTGAAAACACTGGCATTAAGCCAGTCAGAATTCTATTCAGTATTCCAAGATCAAGAGCACTGCTTGAAAGAATATCATGCACATACAATATACACAAATATCATGGCTTAGGAGATTGGGGGATATGGATCAGACTAGTTTAGAAGCCCATCATAACTATGCTAGTCATATATCATCCTCAACAAGTGAATGCAGGTCACACAGAGAGAAACACGTCTAAGGTTTGCATTACTCTCTACTTCCACACCTCTGAACTGTAAAAACTCAGGAGGAAAAGAAAGGCAACTGAAAAATAGGGTAAAGAAGTGCATAATCCAAGTGGAAAGGGGGTCAATTTCACAACGCACAAACATCCACCATCCAAACATCTCAAGGGCTAAGGAAGGGACCATAAAAAGTCATTACATCCAATACCCAATTCATACAACAGGGCCTCAGCAACCATGTTAGCGGGACATTAGAATAGGCTGCCTGAGTTACACGGCTTTCTAGATGAGCAGAAGTTGTTGTTTGCAATTCAGTTTGATTCTCCCATTAATTCATTTTTGCCATCCCCACCGAAGCCAACAAGGCATTTTCACAATGAGAAATAATATCTGTTGTGATATTTTGTGTAAACACATAATGGCTGACAGCTAACAAATAGAGCCACATTTTATTGCGGGGGTCACTGGAGGGCTATGCGTTGCCCTGTTGAGAAATAGCTGTTTGCTTAAGGGCCTCATAGAAGTGAAATATGACTGAAGCACAATGCTTAAAACAGAAGCCTCTCTTGCGCTATAAATATTTATGGTGTCCAAGATGAAGCGAAGTGGGCTTGTGCAGTAAGGGTGCTTTTTATGGTACATTAGCTCAACAGCAGACTCCACATTAGAATCACAGGGAGTTGGGGTGGAAGGGAGGAACGACAGTGACGTGTTCTGAGGAATTCATATGTCATTTTAAGAACTTGGCTAGAGAAACATTGCCCATCAGTGACAATACCATAATTGTCACTGGTGGGGAAGCTGCCAAGTTATTAACACACATGTATGGCAACTTAGGGCACTGTCAACAGGGTATAACATCCCCTAGATAGGAGTGGGAAGGCCTGCATTGTCGCCTGCTCTCCTATGCTGCTCAACTCTCTGCTCCTCAGACTAGGAAAAAACTAACCCACACAAAGGAATGCAGCTAAGGAGTGGCTGAGTGGGGAAAGCCTTTGAGTCAGAAGCCATAGCCAAGTACAATTCAATAAATCTTGGCTTCAACAACTTCCTATTGGTAAGGCTCTGGTAACCTAAGCAACAGAGCTGCCATTTATGCCCACCTTTGCACACTGTTAGGGAAAGGGAGGAAGGTGCAAGATGACAGAGGAAAACTGAAGGTAGGGAAGATACGCTGCAGAGGAGGCCAACCAGGAAAGAAAGCATCCAGAATTCACCAGGCATTCTCAAGATTATTATTTTTTAAAGTCCAATTCAGCCCAGCCTGAGCTGAGATGTTGGGAGCTTGCCTATTCCTACCGAAGAATTGATGCTTTTGAATTATGGTGCTGGAGGAGACTCTTGAGAGTCCCATGGACTGCAAGAAGATCAAACGTATCCATTCTTAAGGAAATCAGCCCTGAGTGCTCACTGGAAGGACAGATCGTGAAGCTGAGGCTCCAGTACTTTGGCCACCTCATGAGAAGAGAAGACTCCCTGGAGAAGACACTGATGCTGGGAAAGATGGAGGGCACAAGGAGAAGGGGGCGACAGAGGACGAGATGGTTGGATAGTGTTTTCGAGGTTACCAGCATGAGTTTGACCAAACTGCGGGAGGTAGTGGAGGACAGAGGTGCCTGGCGTGCTCTGGTCCATGGGGTCACGAAGAGTTGGACACGACTAAACGACTAAACAACAACATGATGGAGAACCCATGGTCCTCCTGTTGGACTCCAGGTCCCATTAGTGACAACAAGTATGGCTAAGGATGATTGGGGGTGTAGTTCAGCAACATCATGAGGTTCCTACTCCGGCTATGAACCTGATCTGACTCCTAAAACAATTTTATCTAGCCTGGCACCCCTACCAAATTTCAGTCAAAGTATGTGGAAAGTCTCACTCATACCAAAAATAAAATATTTTTCAAACCTTGTAAGAAAATATATTCTACATCATCTTTTTAAATTTTATATAACTGAATATCAACATCATTGGAAAGCTCTTCCTTCTACTTTCCTACAGAGTCTGACTAGCTGTGAAGGGATTTAGCTTCTGGCTGTGTGTATAGAAATCATAATGGCTCCTGAGAAACTGGCAAGCCCTTCTCTAAATGCTACTTACAACTATCTACTAGAATAAACATGATCTCTAGAAATGTGAAATTCTGAATTTTCTGAAATTGTTTCTAAACCAATCTTAGATACATACTATACCATACTATCTAGGAGCATTCTCCTTTATTTTTCCTTTCAGCTGAAGTGATGTATTGGGTTGGATCCATACCAAGTTAGTTGAATTTAAGTCCCACTTAAATCAATGGAACAAATTAGTATTAATTTCAAATTATCTCCATAGGAACTAGGACAACCGGCTTAATCTGGATCCAGCCAACTACATTGTTATTGTTAAAGTTTTAAAGTTATTTTGCAATGAGGAATACCAGCAGCAAATAACCACTTGCGTACACTTGTACCGTGGTGCAGGTAAGGGGCTTACCTGAAAAGGTCCTACAATTTCATCGCCAGTGATATTTCTTAAAAGGACATTTGCTTTTGTCCACTGCATTGTGCTCTTGAAAGGCTTTGAGTTATGTAAGCTTTGCAAATCCCCATCAACAGGAGTTCGAAGAAAGACACTCAGCTGGGAATCCTGGGACAACTGATACCAAAATCTCATCTGCTGGAAGGATTTTAAAAATGAAATTATGAACCCCTTCAATAGATCACAGAACAATCAACTATGAATGAACAGTATCTTTCCACGTACCCTTTAATCACAAACTAATGTAACTGACCTGCAAGCATCCTCCAGTCTCCCCCCAAAACCGACTGGGCTTTTAATTTGTTATTGTCAAACACTTAGAAACTTTGAGGTTGCAGCACAAAAGAAGAACCTTTCTTTGGCCTTTTCTCAGAGTCAAGAGCTGGCAGAGAAGCTGCCAGTGCCTCTTGCAGTGGGGGGAAATATGGGGAAGGGGCCAGTAGCAATGCTGCTACTGCTGCAAAGAGGAAGATGGGGAACACAAGGGGCTCTCCAGTGGGTGAGTTCCAGTGTAAGCAGGGGCACTGGCAGGGACATTGACAGTGGGGTGAGGGCATTTGTTATACTATGCCAAAGACCCCCTGAAATTTGGTGTTGACCCTGCCCAAGGGCACCTTGCAGGCTGCTATTGGGGTGGGGTGGGCTAGGACTGGGCTTGGCCCTCCAGGTGTTGTTGGTGTATAAGTTCCTATCCCCAACCACTGATCATGCAGGATGGGGATAAAGGGACTTGTAATCTATCATCATCATCTGGTGGGGGCTACATGTTTCCCAACCCTGGGCTAAAAGCAACATATGGTCTAATTCAGTTGGCTAAACAGGAAGACAAAAACTGCTTATGCAAAGGACGGCAAGGAAATATCACAAAGTTACCTGGCAATACAGAGCATCGCTGGGGAGTTTTGTAAAGACTGGGCTGCTGAGGTGAGAAATTATAGGCTTAGTGTTTGCCTCCGGTGAGCCAGTCACATAAATAAAGGTTCCTGAAATATAAAATAGGGAGGTTGTTAGGAACATTCATTGCCTGAAAACATAAATGACATGAGCATGCCTTTAATGCACTTCTTGGGGACATTCTTCTTCAAGCCTTGTTGATAAGGTCTTATTCAGACCTAAAAATAAATTATGTCCTGTGCATACAAGCCTAGGTGTATTTCTGGCTCGTGCACTTCATCCTCCCCTCTCCTCTGGCATGGAAGATCAGAAGTTTTTGCTTCCATTTTTAATGAACAACAGTTAAGTATTACGTCTGAATGCGGACAAACTGGTTACTCTTATCTAGGTATTGGCGAAACTGCCCCATCAGTTTGCATTTTGCTTTAAGAACCTGTGAAAATTCATCAGCATTTCTGTGTGAATTTCTCCAAATATATGCACTTTTGTATAGAATGTTGCCTAATGCACACACACGCAAAGCAATTTCCCCCAGTATAATGCTTTTATGTATATCATTTACACCATTCTGTGCTTTTTTACACACACTTTAATATACATATTTTTATTTACATCGCTTGGCTAGAGAACTGCAAGTGGAAAATTGGAGGAAGTGCAAATTTAACAGGAGAACCCTTTTTTGCTTCAGATAACATTTCACAAAGTGCCAACTGAATTGAATCCCCCCTCCCCCCCGTTTCTGATAGTTTACTGAAACAGGCCAACTTCAAACTATAGTTTATGAAGCTTCCTTGTTTTAATAAACCGTAATTATGATTAGCCACAGTTTAGAGGTAAAAACAATGCTAACTGTGGTTAGATTAAATTGGAAGCTGAAATTTCAGATCTCTTCCTCACGGCCACACCAGGAGTGGGGAGGGACAGCACACAAACTCAAGGCTCATGTATGAAACAACAGAACACTGCATTCAGTTTCTGCTTGCAGGTTTCCCATAGACATCTAGTTCAGTGTTCCCCAACCTTGGGCCTCCAGCTGTTTTTGGACTACAACTCCCATCATCCCTCGCTAGCAAGACCAGTGGTCAAGGATGATGGGAATTGTAGTCCAAAAACAGCTGGAGGCCCAAGGTTGGGGAACACTGATCTAGTTGACCACTGTAAGAGCAGAATGTTGAACTAGATGGGCCTTTGGTCTGATCCAGCAGGGTTCTTCTTAGGTTCTTAAGTTCTTCTTGTTTATTATTATATTTGTACCCAGTCATAGTAAGTTTTGTAAATCCTCAGCAAACTTCAGAAGCTGACTCTTAGACTATTAATCCTCTCATCCTTTCCAGTACCACTGTTCCTATCAGACTTTTACCCATCCCCTCCACCACCATCCTGTATGGCTGCTTTTTAACTTTAAATAAAAGGCATGAGAGCTAATCATGGGTCCCCTGATATCTCATCTAGTTTGGCCCTTAGATTTTAAACCAACGAAAGAGACATTACATGCTGAGTCATGGAGTGATTAATTGCTTTGCCCGAAGGACTCTTCTTCCACTGGCACTACTCAAAGAGATCGCTCTGGCGTTTATTGCTCAAACGCTGATTGATGCTGAAGGGGCCTCTGCTCCCTTTTCACCCATCTCCCACTATTAGCACAAGGCTTGTTTTCAGAGCTAGAAAACAGCAGAGTACATAAGGTCTCATCTGGGAAGACAAAAGTATGTTTCCATTGCCCTATACAGTGTTGCAAACTATGTTTGGAATTAATGTAGTGCACAGACGATCAATTAAATTGAGCAAACAAAGCAAATTCTGCATTACAACTAGTGCATATAGACCGCTAATGAAGCTCTAGTCCTGAACAAGCAACAATAGCTTGATAACTTTGAAAGTTATTATTCATTGTAATGAAAATGCCTTTCCCCCTCATTTACAACTGTTTCTCTTGGTCCCATGTGGTGCTGAAATTGACTAGACCATAGCACATTATTTTGGTTTAATTATTTCACTTGGAAGAGAACTGCAAATTTAAAGCTACATGAGACCAGTCCTACTTGGTCTTGAATGTGTTTGAGAGATTTAATGCATGCCATTAATAGAAAAATGTCTTTAAAAAGAATAATTTAAAGTTATTGAAATCGTGTGGAACCGTTGCCCAAAAATGGGCACCCGTGTTCTGCTTTTCTTCCTTATTGAAGCACTACATGATAATTTGCACGGATAAAGGATTTGTATGCCATGTATGCACCAAGGCGTTTCCATCTGCAGCAGCGCAACTGGATGCCTTCATCTGCTCCACCTGCAACAAAACATGTATCTCCTGTATCAGTCTTTGCAACCACAGTAAGCACTGCAACCTTCCAAGAGTTTGACTTCAGCCCCAACGGCACACTCCTCCATTGTCTCCTGAGACAGACGGACGCCAGCGGCAATGCACTGAATTACCCATATACATTGAATTAACTGTATGTGCAGCTAATTATACATGCATGCCATTTGTATGTGTGTCACACACACACTAAATGCTCTGTGATAAAAAGGAAAACATGTCATGAAAAATGATCATTCATTTATTTATAAAAGATGAGGTGTCAGGCTTTGGTAAGGAGGCATGAGGCTCTGACAGGGTGCCTGAGCACACCCACCTCCTTCCCAAAGCTGGAAAAGCGCTAACTAGGCTTTGGGAAGGAATTCTAGGACCCTGTGAGAGCCCTGCACACCTCCTTCCCAAAGCCCAGCGTTTCGTTTAGCCGGCTTAGGGAAGAACCACCCTGCTCTAACTAATTGTAGTTTCCCATTTCATTCCAACCAGGTAACTAGTTATCAGCTTCAGAACAAGCCAGAAGATTAAACCATGGTTTAAAGTTGGTTGGATATTGTGGCTCTAGAAGCTCCTGGTTCAAATTAAACAGAGAACTATGATTAATTAGGGGCTTCCTGGTTTGATTGTGCATGCTGCAAAGGAAGGAGTGAAGAGGCTGCATGCATGGGCAAAAAGCTTATTCATATCTCAGATTATTATATTGAGATATAATCATCTCAACTTGGACATTATCTGTTCTCAACCACATTGAATCATCTATTATGTATGTTATTCAGTTTCTCTCATCAACCTGCCAGCACAGGCTAGTACTTTTAAAGCATGTTAGCAGTCTTACAGATCATGGAAGCCCAAAGCATGAGCTGTATTTTTTCTCAAGAAGCCCACAGGCTTGACATTGTTATTTGTGCTAGTGGGAGGAGGGAAGCTTAATTAAAGATCTAATCAGGACTGTCAAACTATCAGCCTGTGGATTTGAGCGACTACAGATATGCACTATGTAGGAGATAACATCTTTGAGAGTTTTTAGAATGGAGCATTTTAGATGACAATTCTACTAAAAAAAACAAAAAAACCAGCTGGCAAGCTTCCACAGAAATCTACATCTTACCTATTAATGGTATACCAAAATGACCAATATTATGGAATGCCAGAGTCCTTTCCAGTGCTATGGTTCTGTGATTAGGTGGGCCTAAATCTCATTGATTCAGGAGCATTTAGGATTGACTGCTATCATTCTACATGACCCAAATAGCTGTCTGTCTTTACCCAGTGAAAGAAGAACTAACCTTAGAGCTGGTAATAATTTGCACATTGGGCAGTGCCTAATGGCAAATCAGTCAGTGACAGCAACAGTAGGGACGAGTGAATGTGTCTTATTTCTGGTTCACATTACTTTCACAGGATTTTACCTATAATTCTGTCCTGTTTGATTCCTGTATTAATCTGAATTTTTAAAACATTCTCTCAAACTGCATATTTAAATGTGCATTTTTTACCAATATATGCATTTAAAAGCATACTGTTTATGTTTAAGCCACTGGAAATACAAAGTAATTTGGTCCCCAAGACTGCAAATTTGAAAGTTAATACATATATACATACAATGTGTTTGAAAGCTCAGAAAAATGCTGTAGCATGACTCACCCTTATTGCTGCTAGTTGTATGATCTGTTCCAGGAAGGAGGGAATCCCCAGAAGTTTGTGCTTTCATTATCTTCCACTGTACATCCTTTGTGTTCAGTGTCTTCCATTCGCAAAGGTCAGACTCAAAGTCACAGAGAGTGTAATTTGCTATTGAAAAAACAAACACAAATAGAGTCAACGGGGTGGGTGGGAAACTGATACAAAAATGTCACTGCATTATTATCTAAATTAATCTGTCTTAATAAAGCAACCATTGGGGTTTCACATTCAAATCCAAAAAGTTTATTTAAAACGGAAACTATGTGAGGACTTTAAGACATCTATTGCCAACTGCAGCAATAAATTTAACACAAAAGTCTTTATTCAATATGAAGATCTTAAACTGAAGATTAAAAGTAGGGGATAAGTTTCCTAATGAATAACTCAGTTGGCACATATACACAAAAAAGCCCTTATGAGTGCTGTAAAACCATACTTTTTTCAATATAAAAACAACCAGGAATGACACCTGAAAAGCAGTTATAATTGCAATCAGGCTATCTGTATAGTAAGGGATTAGCCCAACAGTGGTTCTAAAGCACTGAAATGTTCTTGCATTCAATTTACTAATTTAGGCTTGTTTCTAATATTCCTTTCTATAGCGTAAATGCTTTCACTCGTCCTTTTGGTACTGTACCATCTTTGGAACAGGTGATTTAACTTACCACAAGCTGCTGGATCTTCATCACTTCCATCCAAACAGTCCAGCTGGTAATCACAGGCCAAACTACTGTCAATCCATTGGTCACTGGCACAAGCAAATCGTTCAGAAGAACAAACCTCTGGCAAGTCTGATGTTGTGTTTCCCACAAAATGAAAGTAATGCAGGCAGATGGTGCTCATGTTGCTTTCGAATGTTCCTTCTAAAAGAAGCTGCAAGAATGGTTACTATTTTATATTTACCCAATTATTTCAATGGAAAGAGGAACAAATGGAGACCGAGGTGTTAACATGGTTAATGTATTTGCTCAGTGTTTCATGCAACCTCTTTTAACATTTGTCCTGATTAAAGTAGGACATGAGCCACAGATAAAGTCATTACTCATGTACCACATTTAATGCACTTACTATGCGCACAGGCCCAATTTTGTGCAACATGAGCATGCTAGCAGCACATCCACACACAAGCCATTAAAGGATAGTGTGCTAACATTACATAATAATGCTAAAAGTGTATGTACATGATATGGGACATGTGTGGTATATGCCATAGCTTGCATACTGTATGAAACAAGCCTATGCTTCAGTTAACCAACTGGATTGGGTATAATTTTTTTCTATGTGAAATCTAAGCCGCCTTCATGCAAGAATTACATGAAGGAGCTATGGGGCTGAATGACTGCTCCTGTGGTCTGTTGGCCTCCCCTTGCCACATGTCTAATGTATATGTATTAGGCATGAATATTTGTGTGCCTTCCACATGAGCTGGAATCCCAATCCTGGAAAATTCTAATTCTCATTGAAAGCCTAACACCTAAAGGTCTATCCATATAGGGTTTTCCCTGCGGATATGCTTGCCTATTGCCCGGATGTCAGATACTGAGCCAGAAGACGCTGAATGAGCTCAGGGCCAGGGGAAGCCCTGAAGCACCTTTCTGCAGATGATGCCCATTCATGTGTATAATGCACATAGGGGCTCCAATCAATGCTCAGTTAAAAGTTGTTAAGATTGTTGGCTGCTTATGAGGAACAAATCCACATGAAGTCACTGGGACTAACTTCCAGGTAAACACGCATATATTGATTTGGTTGCACTTTCGTAAAGGCCAAACAGGCTCATGTAACTCCATTTTCTAACATAATTTCCACTTGTGTAATATACACAAGCGGATCAATTCAAGAGCCCTTTAAAATGATGAACTGTTGAAATATATTCAATATTACAGCAAACTGAATGACAGCTGGTGCAAAAAGAAAGGACAAGTTAACACACACCAAAGCCATTAGCAGGGATGGAGAGGTAAGTACTCAGATTTCCTATCTTTACAAATCTCCTTCTTTGGAAAGCTCACAAGAGATCAGTATATAATCCATTTTGCTTCCCCGCTACAATTCATTCAGAGCCTTCCTATAGGCCTTTAACCCCTACAGACGTGAAATAAGGTACTTTACCTTCCTAAATCTTAGTTATAATTGTGTCAACAGGGCCAGAGTAAGTCACAGTACACTGAGGTGAATTGCAGAGCAGATCCCAGCTCAAGTACTATCCAAATACATTGGTACCTTGGGTTACAGACGCTTTGGGTTACAAACACTTCAAGTTACAGACTCTGCTAACCCGGAAGTAGTAGCTCGGGTTAAGAACTTTACTTCAGGATGAGAACAGAAATCGTGCGGTGGCAGCGGGAGGCCCCATTAGCTAAAGTGGTACCTCAGGTTAAGAACAGTTTCAGGTTAAGAACGGATCTCCGGAATGAATTAAGTTCTTAACCAGAGGTACCACTGTAGGTAAGCATTGTTGGTTGCCCTTTTCAGCCAATGCTGCTTCCTGATTTTATTTTTAATGGCTCACAACTGAAATTGTTGGTTTTGAGGACTGACCCATTGCACTTCCCAGTACAATGAAGTCAGCACTGATGCGTACTGGCATGCCTTCACCAGTCAGCTTTGACATCCCTCATCACTTGCAAGGCTTTGGTTCAACCCACAGAAGATAGGCTGGGCATGAACAACAGATTAGGAGTAGAAGGATCTGTCCATTTCAGTTCTCTCAGTTTCTCATTTTTCCAACCTTATAGTTGGTTTTTCACATATTGCAACAATTTGTGATTATAAGCAAAATCCTCATGAAAATCCACTTGCATTTTAGTGTGAATTTCTCCTAATAAACACATTTTATATGTAGTACTAATATACACATTTCTGCAAGCAATTTCCCCATATATAATGCATTTTTGGATGTTATTTTCACCAATACCTTCATTTGTATGCACACTTTCCCTAATTTATGCATTTTTTAAAAAACGCTGCTTGGTTGGCAATCTGTATTACCACATTCAGAAAAGTGCAAATTTTGAAGGATAGATGTGTTTCTATTTGCATATTGTTTAAAAAAAAACTGTGAATTTGATAGATTTGGCTTTTAATGTGTACTGAATCAAATTTCTCCTCTGTCCCTACATTGAGAGACCAATAGGGAAATGATATTGCAAACCAAAGTTGTACATTCTCCTGCTACCTTAGAATATTTAAAGTAGCTGATAGAGTCTCTGAGTTGCAGTCTGGCAACTCTTATGGGGAGAGAGAAGGAAAACACTTGAAAAGAAAAGAAAAGAAAAGAAAAGAAAAGAAAAGAAAAGAAAAGAAAAGAAAAGAAAAAGGAATCAAGGATGGTATTTGACAGGGTCAGATATTTCATTGCTTTTATTCTCTGCTCTATATCCACAATGTACAGACTAGTCTATCTCCTAAGCAGTTCAGTTAATGCTCAATCAATTTCAGAATATATATATATATATATATATGCGCAAAAACCCATATTGTTTGTAAATAATTCTCCTTTTAGAATTCAAATAAGGCATGAATTTCACAACTGGATGAAAAGTAGGAAGGAACATTGTACTGTACAATATACTCAGTAAAAAGTACTATTAAAAATAAGTTGGAAGGAAGTGAGGAATTACAAACAAAGTAATCCGTTTTTGTTATGCTGGAAATTGATTTGACGCAGGAAATTGCCAGGAGGTAATTTTCCTGCAGCATGTTTTAAAGTGCCAGGTGTGCCCATAGTTTCTGAAATTCCATTCTGCCCTTTTAATGGAAAGCTTAATCCTGCAACAGCACTGGCTCACTCACCTAGCAGCAACTGGCTGGCTGAATTTAAAGGTGAAATAAACTGGAGCTGCTGCTGGCAGGTCCACTTCTTGTTACACTCCAGATGATTTCTATACTTGGTAGGCTTTGGGAGGGAGAGCCAGACCAGCTTGGTGGTTAGAGGGTTAAAGCAGGACAGAGAGAACAGGATTCAAATCCCCACTGAGCATGAAATTCACTGAGTGGTTTTGGCGCCAGTCACTATTTCTTGGCCAAACCTGCCTCACGGGGTGCCGAGAGGAAATAAAGGGAGATAATCATCTATGTCATGTACACCAGAGCTCACTGAGAGAAGATGGAATAAAACATATTTAAGAAGTACACAAGGCTGAAGAGTTTTAAGTTAGATATGGTAACAGGCTTACTGCAACACAAAGTTATTTTCTTGCAGGGCAGCAGGTTTGCTCCTGGCATGTTAAGAAGGTCCTCACTGCTTGATGGGCAGAATTTGTCTCAGGCTTCTCTGTGAGGTGTGGCCAGTGATATGGACTGGATTGTCAGGTCCTATGCATGTTCTGCTCCCTCCCTCTTCCCTGAAACCTGCAGCCTAGTCATCAAATACTTGGTGGAAACTTGAGAGTCAGTGGTACAGGCAGATCATTTTAGAATGTGGACTTAGTGGTTGCAATGGACCCCCCTCTGGACAGACTTGTGTATTACTGCAGTTGTGTGGCACACACCATCAACGTTTTTCTTCTCCCCACCTCCTGCCATTCCATGCTTAACAACTGCTTCTAGATTCCTGATATGCAAAAAACCAAGAAGTTTACCATCCCTTATTTTATTTTATTTTTTAGAAATACACTGAGCATATTTAATTTCTTAGTTCGAACTTGCTTACATCATAGTATTAGCAGGACTACAGGGGGGAAATGGGTTTTGCTTCTGCTGCCCTGATGCTAAACATATTGACTTGGGAATAAGCACTGTTTTGCTGTATAAAAGGATAATATCTTGGCAGGTAAACAATTATTAATTAATTAATTAATTAAATGTAAAAATGTAAAGGGACCCCTGACCATTAGGTCCATTCGTGGTCGACTCTGGGGTTGTGGCGCTCATCTCACTTTATTGGCCGAGGGAGCCAGCGTACAGCTTCCAGGTCATGTGGCCAGCATGACTAAGCCGCTTCTGGCGAACCAGAGCAGCGCACGGAAATGCCATTTACCTTCCCGCCGGAGCGGTACCTATTTATCTACTTGTACTTTGACGTGCTTTCAAACTGCTAGGTTGGCAGGGGCAGGGACCGAGCAACGGGAGCTCACCCCGTCACAGGGATTCGAACCGCCAACCTTCTGATCGGCAAGCCCTAGGCTCTGTGGTTTAACCCACAGTGCCACCCACGTCCCAATTAAATGTATTATTATAATAAATTATAGTACTTGTAATTAACATTTATTGAAAATAATGGTTACCTGTCCATGTACAGCCACCCCAGCTATAAAACAGGGGAATCTGTTTGTTTGTTTCTAAAAAGAAGAAGATAAGATGGCAGGGAGACCAGTGCATGTCCATGCCAGCCTGAGTGCTGATGTGGGGGTCTCTTGGCTGTTTCTTCCACAATCGGACACTCTCTTTGTACTCATTTGGGGCTCCCTTGGGCTGGGAGGCTCTGGACTTTGATGCCAAGGTCCAGCCCTAGCTGCACCACTGCTTGAGATGCTTGAAAAGGAAGTTGTAGACCAAAGACCTTTGCCTGCAGGGTGCTTCCTGTTCTCTTACATGAAATACATTCTTCCAGCTGCAAGCATGCATTAGTTCATAGAAGAAAAATCCTAGAACATGGGATTTTTCTCCATATATTCAGCAGCTCCTCTAATTCACTGGGATCAACTTTCAAAGTGGGGATGCTTAAATGGTTTTCTCTTACCTTGGTTTTTTTAAGATCTGTTAGTATCTGTATTTCTGCTTTCACCCACTCATTGTTAGTTGTTGCACTGGCTCTCCACAGCACCACTTGTTCATCCTGACAGGTATAAGACACATATATGTTCATAAATTTACATACATATTTATAAATGTGCATCCATTTTATCTATGGCTTCTGTCAAACCACTTAAGTTCAGCCTTCCCCCAGTCTGATGCCCTCTAGATGTGTTGAACTCCAACCCCCATCAAACCTGACCATAGTCATGCTGGATGGGGCTGGTGGATGTTTTGTCCAAAACATCAGCTGCCCAACTGTGTAAGTAATGCAGCGTTACGCATGGAACTTAATATTGTATCCCTGGAAAATGCTCTGTGGAAGCACATACTTTGTCACTGGTTATCTCTATGGCACAATCTCCCAAACTTGTACTTGATACAATGTATGTGGAGAGATGATTTCCAGAGCCCATGGGTAAAAAATTTACAGCTGAAAATAACGGCAATGGGAATCTCCCCATCCAAATTACTAGAGCAGGATATAGTCCCAGCTAAAAGAACAGTAACCTGTAAGCTAGAGGAGATGGACTTACAGCAGAAAATGATCTTGGGCAATGGTACCTGCTCACCTCTAAATCTTGGTTTATTACCCCTCTTAAGGCTCCCAAACTATTTGAATTCTTTAACTTCCTCAGCTCATAGATATGCCTTTGTAAAGGCAAGATTCAACACCTTCCCATCGAACGTGCTGAGAAATAGATTCTCCAATGGACAGATATCGCTCTTATGTGATTGTAATAGTGGGGCACCCGAATCGTTGCATCACATAATTTTTGACTGTGCTTTTCACTTACCGGCCAGGAGCAAGTTTCTTGCTCAATATCTTAAGGGAATTGCCGATGATACGATTGAAGCCAAACTGAGATATCTACTAATTGATGATGACCCCCTAAAATCACTCATGGTTGCCAGATTCCTGATCAGCGTCCTATCCCTAAAGAAGAGAAACGGTCTCCTGTGTGATTCGGACAACCCCTTTACACCATGACCTGTGTTTTAGGTGATATCACCATTGTTTTAAACCATGATCTATGTTTTAGGCGATATCACCATTGATATCCCTGATTAATTTATGAGCAGAGGTTACAAATTTATTGCAATGTATGATGGTGGTTTCTGTTTTGTATGATGGTGGTTTTTGTTTTTGTTTTGCTTCGGTTACTGTTTGTCTTTTGTAAGTCTTGGCAATTTTAAATTTGGAGGTTTAAGTATAATATGTTGGTATGGGAAACTGACGTGTAACGGGCCAATGGCCGTAATAAAGATCAATCCAATCCAAAACATCAGCAAGGCAGCAGTTTGGGAAAGGCTGGCTTAGCCAAACTTTCTGAACCATAATCAGCCTGTCACTGCTGCCTGGAGAAACACGGCTTTCTGTACTTCCGTTGCTGTGTTTACTGCTCTGATTGCATGGACTCCAGGGAAGACAAGGCATTTGCAGTAATTAGGCACAATAATTGAGCAATTATCAGGAGATATCTATGTAAATGTAAAATAAACTGCAATGGAAAGTTACAAGGCAGACAAAAAGACAAATGTGTGGTGGTTTCCCCGCATGAGACAAAAGGTTAATGGGAATCTACTCTGCCAATGCTCATGAAACTTTGTTTAGAAAACAGCACAATCTTGTGAATTTCTACTCAGAAGTATGCCCCATTGAATTCAATGTGCCTTACTTCCAGGAGATGAAGTATCTCTTTTCCTGTGCCTTACACCGAATCGTGTGCCCCAAACACAAGCCCTAAGCTTTTCTTTTGTATAGGTCAAAAAGAAGCTAAGACCATGGAAGCCAAAATAGCCAGAGCAGTTCTAGCTGTGCCTCCTTCCAGGCCAGGGTGAAGAAATATGGATCTTATAAGAACTGATTTCACTACGGGGTTGCACGAGAGACAAGAGGCTAAGAAGCTGCATAGATCATGGAAAGAAATATCTAAACCTGAGAGTTTCTTGGCAGGACCAGGATATGCCATAGGTTATACAGTGGTACCTCGCAAGACGAATGCCTCGCAAGACAAAAAACTCGCTAGACGAAAGGGTTTTTTGTTTTTTGAGCTGCTTCGCAAGACGATTTTCCCTATGGGCTTGCTTCGCAAGATGGAAACGTCTTGCAAGTTTGTTTCCTTTTCTTAACACTGTTAATACAGTTGCGACTTGACTTCGAGGAGCAACTCATAGAACGCGGTGTGGTAGCCTTTTTTGAGGTTTTTAAAGACTTTGGTGATTTTTGAAGCTTTTCCAAAACTTTCCCAACACCGTGCTTCGCAAGACGAAAAAAATCACAAGACGACAAAACTCGCGGAACGAATTAATTTCGTCTTGCGAGGCACCACTGTATATAATTCTACAGGGTCTCCTGAGTTGGTGCCTTAAGTTGGAACATAAAGTACAAGAAAAAAAGGAGGCACTGGGCAAGGTTCCTATGATATCAGCTCTGGCCTATCCAGAGGGCTCAGATTCCCTGTCAATCACAAGATGGTGGTGTACACACCAATTCTCTTCTACAATGGAAATATTCCCTGGGGCCTAATGATATTGCCCATTATGCTAAGGCACACTGGGCTAGGTCTTAGTCTCAGGACTCCGAAGCTCTTGGGTCAAAGTTTCTGACAGTTCAAAAAGCAGAAGTCTTATTATATACTTGGTGGCATTGCTGCCAGTATGGAATGGAAAAGAACAAGTTCTCTTTGTGCCCTGTCAGCTGCTTCAATTTGTCACTGTTCTCTTAAGTTTCATTTGCAGGTTGAAAAATCAGCCCTGCCACAGTTTTCAAGGATTTGCTGCTCTTAAGGCAGCAAAGGATGGTGCTAGTTTGTGTAGTATATAGACTAATTCCTTAGGAATGTGACTTCACAGTTCACATAAACTCTAGAAAAAAAATTAATTGGATGGAATGAAGCTATTCAGTAGTCAGAAAGGGTCAAGCTCAACCCCATTCAAGAGGTGAAAACTCCCCCTCTTTGTTATAATACCTCCAGGTCAGAAAGCCTAATTTTGTCTCCGTTCCCATCACAAAGGCTTGGAAAACACTTTCCACTCCTTCTAGGAAGAAAAAGTAAGTAATTTGGTAATAGATCATCTAAGTGTCACTGTGTTCTGAGCACTGCCCTACAGTTCATCAGCTCCATTGGTTTCCATCCTCAAAAAAATGTTCCTGGTACCTTTGTGGCTCAATTTTTGGCTGCTTTTTTGAAGGTTCATTTGTCATCAAGAACTCTGTGCCATAGGTTGTGGGGTTACATTAATTCCCCTAACCTCAAGATTTTGATCTTAAAACAGCAACAGCAACCTTGAATGCAGGGCAGCAAGAAACAGGGTGGATAGCGGATAAATGCTAATAGCAACTCTAGCTGAACCCACAAAGCAATTGTATTTTGACTGGGGAAAGAGCATAATAACTGAATCATAAAAAGTGTAAATAGGCTGCTGCAAAGAAAGGCCTGAGATCTGATAATGTATGCTGTCAAAATTATATTTGAGTATGTATATCAATGCCTATTTTCAGTTAATTGATTTAATCTCTGTGCAAAGTCTTTTAATCTCTTCCCTACTTTATTTACAAAAATTGTGCCTAATTGACCTATGATTTTTGTTAAGTACTTGGAGAAGAAGAAGAAATAATTTTAATAGAATTCTTTTGAGGCCACAGGATACATTGAACATATGTGACTTGCTGGCATAAAGCACTTAATTTGTTTTTGCTTTGTTTGGAAATGAAACTCCTAAGTCGACTTGCAAACCCTTTCTTCTAGCTAAAGAAGAAGAAGAAAAAACCATGGTGCTTTTTTGCCTTTGAACATACAGGCATAATTTAGCTGGTGAGCTTTTTATCTATCATTTACTCTTTTTCTACCACCTTTTCTCCATGCCATAGAATTCACAGATTTCTTTTGACTCTGTGAGCCAATTTACATGTTACAGCCCCACATGTAAGTTGCTGGGAAGGAAATCTATATGGTGGGTCTTCTGCAAGGGGAAAGTAACATCACCTGCGACATGGATTTTCTACATCACATGGTGAGCCTTCATACTAGTGCCACATATTTATTAGAACAACAACAACAAAAAAGTGCCCTGTATCAAGTCAGATCAACATTCCATCTACTTCTGTATTGTCTACATTGAGTGCCAGCAGCTCTCTATGATTTCAGACAGGAACCTTTTCCAGTCCTGCCTGGAAGTGCAAGGTGTCAGGGAGAGGCAAATGGGAAAAGATGAAAGGACAGAAACCAGCAGTTCTAGAGAGCCTAAAGAGATTATCAGCAGCTTCTCCTCTGAGAGTGGGTCTGACGTAGAGGGGGAGGAGGATGAGCCTGGGATAAGTCATTCTGTACACAGAGGAAGTAAGGGGAGGAGTTTTCGCGGACTTGCATGCTGGGTGCGGAAAAGGAGGAAGTAACATTAGAGGGAGCAACTGCGCACAAGGGGAAGGAGGTTAATGGAAACGCTGGAGATGTACGTTTGAACTTTGTCAATAAATCAAATGGTTTGGAACTGGCTGGGAGCCCAGAGTCTTATCTCTGCCAACTGGACAGCTTTAAGCCTCTGACACAAGGATTGAACTAAAGATCTTTTACAGGCAAATCAGATATTTACCAAGGGGTTTCAGCCTCTCCCAAGTTTGCCTGAATTCTACATTTCCCCCCGGCATGGGATTGAAATGTCCATCTCCTGTTTTCTGGGTCAGTGCTCTGTCCCTGTGAATCATTCTTCACAGTAGCTGACAATGATGTGCAGGTACTCTGTACAATGTGAAAGATCTATATAGTAAATGGCATGGTGTGCTATCAGCTCCTTTGTGAAGCTACTACAAAAGCAATGCAGGAAGGTGGTAGACAAATGTATTCTTCATTGCCTCTCTTTCGATTCTTCTGGAGAAGGATAAGATCTATGTCCTGACTACAAATATCCTTTCCCATGCGGATGAAATTGATGAAATATGCAGAAATGGCTAAATTAACTAGTAGAATAAGAGGTTAGGAAGAAAGAGTTTTTAAGGAAGATTAGAAAAGATTTGCAGAATATTAGAAAAAAACTATTGTAAACAAATTAAGGCGTTAGCAGGATTAGAGTAAATTTAGCAGTATAAAATTGAGACAAAACTGAAAAAGGAAAGAATACAGATTGATTAGATTATGCAGTGGAAAAGGGTAACTAAAACGAACTATTAAAGGGGAAGGGAAAGGAAGTTGATATTAAATATATGATATATGCTTTGGTGAATGTAAAGGTCTGTAAAATTAAGAAATTGTATTTTTAAAAAAACCCAAATACCCTTTCCCTACTACTAGTGGTGTTGTTGTTTTTTCCATTTCGAAAAGAATGTATGAAATCATTAAGGGAAACACAACATTGAAGCCTGCAAAAACAATTAATCCTAATTTTTTTAAGTGTTTGTTTCTGCAGACAAGTTCCATTCTTCCAGCTTTTCTGCTGGAGCTTAGTATATTATACCTTCCTACTGAAAATGCACAAAGAACTTCTTTAAAACAATGTGCTACTATTCAATGGTTTCTATAAAAGCTTCGTTCCTGTTCCTGGATAACTGGATGAAAAAGGAAGGGAGATTAGGCATGTGCTGCAAGAGAAAGTCTGTTTTTCTGTCTGAAACTGAATTATATCCACAATTTTTTACTTACCGCATCAGTATAAAGGACTGCTTTGAGAACGCTGTTATCCACCATGGTGTAATGAAACCAAATATGGCAGTTTTCACCAAAGCAATGACACATTGTGCCATTCAGAGTTGGGCTTTCATATGATGTGTTGACCCATTTGTAGTGGCCTGAAAAAGAATCTCTCCATTAGTTCTTCTAAAAATAAATGATCGGTTCCTTTAATATTGATGATGATAACAATGATAACAATTTATAGTAACCTTATTTCTAACCTACCTTATATCAGATGATCTCAGAAATGGCTTACAATCCAAAAAATGACAACACAAAACCACAAAAATCAGTACTCATTAATAATTTTAGCCAACATAAAATCCATTGCTCAGCAGTAAGAATCAATATAGTTAGCTCAAATGCAACTGCAGTTCATGCTGCCAAAATGCTTGGTGCCAAAATGAAGCCAATGAGGACTGGTCCTCAAGGGGAGGCCATTTCACAGCCAGGGTGCTACAGCAGAAAAGGCCTTCCCTAGCATCTCCACATGTATGCCCTGCTACAGGTGGAACACAGATTAGAGGGCCCCCCCAAGAGATTTTAATGCCCAGGTACGAGTATGTGAGGAATGGCACTACCTCAAGTATTGAGGTCTCAAGCCATTTAGGGCTTTAAACACCAGCAGCAACTTTGAAATCAGACCAGAAAAATCCTGGCAGCCATGGTCCAGAGATGGCTAAAGTGTGACTTTCCAGATGTTGCTGGTGTAGACAGTACAACCAATGATCAAGGATAATTGGAATTGCCATTCAGCAACCACGGGAGGGCCACATATTAGTCACCACCGCCATAGACTTAATGCTATACAGGCATCGCGTCTGCTCAGTGGCCAGTGTGTTGTCTCCATTGTAGCTTTCATCTGAAGAAGTCCTCAGGTCCTTCCACCCTCCTAATATGGAGCAATCTGCTTCCATTCTCTATGAGTTTCCACATATGATTTATACTGGAAATATAAACAAATATTTTCAAAATAAAATGTTTTCAGCTTTTAAAAAGCTGTTTTTCTGAAAAAAGTACCAAAGAAGGTGAGATCTAATCAGTGTAACACCCCTGCAGTAGTTTCATAGCAAGGCATATTGTGCAACCAAGTAGCAGAAGCACACGGGTTTACAGCTAAAGCTGTAATTTCAGATCTTTTTGACCTTTTGCTCCCGATAACAGCATTTCTATGGAGGCCTAAGAGAATGACTTGTGTCCTTCATATTCTCCTTTAACTATCTGAAATAAAAAGAGCAGACATCTGTTCTTTTAAAAATATGTGATCACTTCTTATTCTTGAATCATTGGACTATCCGGCTATTTTCAGAAGCTGATAGTTAAAATCTTCTAACACTTCACCCTTCGGCTTCTGTGAATATCATTATGGATGGGAAATATAGAGCTTGTTCTCAGAACAATTTCTATCAAACAGAAAAGATGGCCCTGTAGCCAAATGGGGCAATGGCAAATTCTAAAATGAGGTCAGGCATTTCTCTTTTTCCTGCTGATCTGCTGTGCATCGAGTCATTTAATTTGACCTTGGCACTAAAGTACACCGGACGGCGATGCTAATTTGAGTTGATTGGCAAGGCAGGAAAATTTTAAGGCAGTAGTATCCCTGGCTTTCTGGCATTTTTGATCATGTGGCTCGCTGACCTCTTCTTCACTTAACCCTGGTTCAAACAGAAGTTCAGGGCTCTTCTTATCTACAGGACAATCAGTGTCAGGATGGGAACATTTTCACAGCTTCCTGCTACTGGAGATTCATAGTTTGTTGATATGAATTTTGAGATAGTTTCTCATTATTAGGGCTTAAGCTCCAGGAGTGGTTGTTCTTGTGTAAATCACAGGCCCTCTGTGCTGCATATTTCTCTCTTTTTCCTTCATGACAATTTAGGGTGGCCATTCATGCAGTACCAGCCCCCCGAAAAAAGAGGCCACAGGTTTGCATATGCTAAATTGTACAAACCACTCTTCAAATAGTGGGCTGTCCTCTGTAAAGTAGGGCACAAGGCTACCCTATGCCTACTGCCCAGGTTGTAGAACCAGGGCTACTAGCAGCACACCAACATGTGATTCAGAACATTGTACAAAAGAAAATATTGGGTGGCTACAACTGACCATGTCCTATATTAGCATTCAACATATTGTTGCACATCACCCCAATCTCTGAGAAGTGCAATATTCCAGGGATTTCAGGTGCTTACCCAGGGTCCATGTTTCCTTTTGGAAATGAGCCACAGTGAAGACTGTGGTGTCTTTATGATATTTGATTTATTTGCACAAATATACAACCTGAGCCTACGATGGAGGGGTTCCTAGCATCAACACCCCAAGAGAGTGTTGCTTCTGCCATAGGCATGACCTTGGATCCAAACAGACATAAAACATCACACTCTGCTGCTTTATTTCTCAGTCACATAACTCCTAACTCTCTAAGCTCCAGCTTTATCTGTTGAGGAAGAGGGGCCCAACTCATTTGCTGTCTCACACCAAGCCCCTTTCATCCTCTGTTTTCTTAATGGCTCATCTCCCAGATTATCACCTCAATTAGGAAACTTAGTCTGGTTTAATCAGTTTTTGACACATGCAGATTCCAGGGGATTAGAAGTGTCTAGTACACAACTTACTACACATGGGTCTGATTAAATTCTAACACTTACTGACTCCAGGAATTTAGAAATGTCTAGCACCCATGAACTCATAACAGTATTGTCCATGTAGGTATATGGGAATCTGCTTATTTTTACTATCTGGCAATATAGCAAGGGTACTTTTACCATATACCTGCTACCAAATGAAAATGGGGAAAGCAGGGGTGCAGTAAAATTATTCTCACCATGCAGACTGGCTTCTAGATATTAACTTCACATTGTGTGATTGCAGCACATTGCAATATGAGACCTCAGGCTAAATGATTACGATTGCCATCCATGCTGGTGTATAACATTGCTGTCATTAATATTCCCATGGTAGAAAAAAATATATGATCACGTGAACAGATCAGCTGATCCGTTGCATTTAAAATGAGAGTTCTTTAAAGAATGAGAGTTAGAATGAGAGGTCTTTAAAGGCTGAACTACATGTTAGGTTATTGGGGGGGGCAGAGCAGGTAGTATACTTAAATGGCCATTTGTATTGGAAGGAAAGGCAGTTGCTATGCTCCGATGCACCATGTTCTCCCAATCTGGGTTAGGGCTCTACACCAATTCCCTGCCAACACCCCCCCCTTCCCAGCTGCTATTTTCCCTTAAAGCTCCTATATGTAGTTTGACCATTATGCAAAGAAATACCGTATTTTTTGCACCATAACACTCACTTTTTTCCTTCTAGAAAGTAAGGGGAAATGTCTGTGCGTGTTATGGAGCGAATGCCTGCGGGTGGCGGGGGGGGGGATCTGCTGCAGTTGTGAGCAGAGGATCCATGGTTCCCCTTCCCTCCCTCCTCTGTGGTTACAAAGCATGGATCCACATTGATCCTCAGGATTTTTGCATTGGGCTACTCCAAACTCACTGTCAGATCACATGTCTGTGGCCACAGCATGAACCACAAAAATCATATATCCACTATTTCGTTTAGAATATTTTTTTCTTGTTTTCCTCCTCTAAAAACTATGTGCGTGTTATGGTCTGGTGCGTGTTATAGAGCGAAAAATACGGTAATTTTCTTAGGTACTGCAAATAACTTATATGGCACTGCTCTGGTTCGCCAGAAGCAGCTTAGTCATGCTGGCCACATGACCCGGAAGCTGTCTGCAGACAAACGCTGGCTCCCTCGGCCAGTAAAGCGAGATGAGCGCTGCAACCCCAGAGTCATCCGCGACTGGACTTAATGGTCAGGGGTCCCTTTACCTTTTTACTCTTACTTTTTATTCTTTGTATGTGTATTCAGAAGTCAGTCTTATTGGGTTCAGGATACCTTAATCCGAGGTAAATGTGCACAAGACTGCAGCCTAAGACAAAATAGTGGTTCCTGAATAAACACAAATATTCAATGATAGTAGTAAGTTCCTCTGCACTCAGGGAATAGGTTGACTAATATGGCATGGGTATTAATAGGGATTCCCCCCCCCCCCATTTCAATTTCCTTTTTTAGCAACTTGAGATCAAACAGCTCAAAGACTGTATCTAGGAGAAAAGATTAGATTTTATTCAAGCAGGTTTTTTAATCTCACTCATTTGTATGCATCTGTGTATCAAAAGCCCTTGTTAGAGAGTTATGCTTTGAGACGGCTATATCCTTGAAGCTCACTAGGCACAGGACCTTGCATCTCATTTTGGAGCTGTCAGTAAACTTTCCCTTGACAATAATTACCACTTTAAAAAGACTAAGTTTACAGGTCAGTCTTTGATGAATGAATGCTATGATAACCCAGCATGCATGTCCAAAGGGTAACATTCTAGGCAAGATAACATGAGCCAGATTTTGTAGGTGAACTCACAACAGAGCACTTAACATGTTGCAGCACTCAGGCGGCCACTGAGAAATGCTTCCACATGGTGAGGGGTCCCTACAGTGGGTGAACGTAAGGGGCTCGGAACATGGATTTGCCTTATCACTTGGGAATTCCCTAGGCTTATGGAAATACCTTTTGCCCAAAAATGATTTTCACGTGAGTGCTTCTCAGAACTTTCCATGTGAAGAGATTCATGATTAGATGTACTGGATTAGGGAATCTGTTCATTTAAAAGGAGGCAAAGAGAGAATATTCTCAAATCCTGCAAAACAGGGCTTATGCTAACCTCCATTGAATATAAAACAATATTTGTATTGGCTAGTAAAGACTGGCTGATTATCCCACTCTTTGTCTTTGGAAGCATTATGAGGGACTGTGAGAAACATCATGGAAAAAGACTAAGGTGAAACTATGAAACTCCCTTGCTATTTTTTTTTAAGTAATCTTGTTATATTTATAGTATTGAAATGTAGTTTTTTTGGGATGTTATTATATTTTTGTTTCTCTAAGTTATTATGAAATTGTTTCCGTAGTGTTTCTTTGGAACACATCCCTGTTTTGCTGCAAGCTGCTTTGAGCATTGTGTGTGTGTGTGTGTGTGTGTGTGTGTGTACAAAAGTGCCATACAATTAAATTGAAGGAAGAAAGATGAATGAATGATTAGACTGCTGGAGTGAGACAGAGCAGACCCAGGTTCAAAGCTCACCTCCTTTCAACATAATCTATCTCACAGGGAGTCGTACACTGCCCTAAACTCACTTAGATGAAAGGTGGGATCAAAATGTAATAAATAATCAATGAAACAGCTCCCAGAAACATTTGTCATTAATTTTATGTAATCTGCATTAATTGGGTATTTTTTGACATTATTGTCAAATCCTGGCACCCAATGAAATGTGTGCATGTTTAAGGGGCCTTGTTTAATGTAGGATAAGTCAAGCCAGTGTAAACAGGAACTGAGCAGGAACAGCAAGAATGCACTGCAGATATTTGAGAGGATATTTATTTACTGAGACAATTCATGAGTGCCATAAGAAGCACTGGTGGATGTTACTGCACTTGCAGGTGTCAGGTTAGCAACCCCTGGCATAGACTGTGGGATAGGCTGGCAGAGATGGGGACAGTGGGCATTGTTTAGCTCTTTCCCTTCGTATGATTAAAATCACATAGAGGGAGATGTGTGAACAGGGCTATGGACAAATTTTAATATCAGCGTCCTGTACAGCCATGTGAAAATGCTGCATAGACTTCCACTGGTAAATAGAAATACATTTATTCATTTGTTACACTTTCGGATTTTAAAGCAACGCCCTAAAGTGGCTTGTGTTTGATACAGTTTTGCTCTAAGGTTGTACATTCAGATGCAAGGAATTAAACATTTCTAATTTTCATACCAACTCATGTTACATGTTCTCAACTATCAATGAGCAGTGAGTTTAATCTAATCACTTATGGAGAAGGCAGAAAAAACAATGTATATATTTCACCAACTTAGATTTGGGGAATGCAGTCTAATCTGCAACGGTCGAATAATCTTAAATAGCTGGGCTTTGTTTTTTGTTTATGTTTTTTATAGTGCAAAGGGAAGAAAATATTTGCTAAATACAACACTAAACCAGAAGATACTCTCTGTTGGGTGATTAAGATTTTTACTACATAATTCTATATGTTGCTAAAATGATGTGCTTATTCTGAAACTCTATAATTGTCCACTATATTTGCAAACAGCTAATAGGAAAGAAAAATCCAGTAAAGATACCAATTATAACAGCAGGAAAACAACAATACCGAAAATGCTATAAACAAACAGGTAATAGATCTTTTAACGTTAGGACAATTAAACAAGCGGCCGGCATTCTGTTCTTTAGTCCAAGGACTCCTTTGATGCAAAGCTCATCCATTTCAATAAAGTTCCAACTAGCGCAAGTGCCATAAAACTCAAGAGTTTAATAACACAGAAAATAGAAATCACACAGCTAGAAAAATATCAGTCAAGGTCAGGAAGAGAAGTTTATTATATGTATGAGTACATTAAAAGACTCGCAAATATTCTATAATCAATTTTGTTTCATGAATACTGTTGTCCAGTTGCCATCGTGATTTAATTTTATGCTCACTATCTATGTGGGAGGGGGCTTGAACAAAATTAGAAAAGAAAACATTTTCTTTGCAAATCTCAACCTCAGCAAGCCGCCTTTGAGAGCGGTATGTGACATTGAGAGGTTTTTGTTTTGTTTTTTTGTGCTTGAGCTATAAAGCTGATCTCTGCTATCCATTTATCCTCGGAATAAATAGAAGGAAAAGAAACGCTTGGTGTCTGAGCTATCATGAGGGAGACTGAACCACCTGAAACCTTGGGGTACATTCCAGAAATTATGATGTTTCTATGCATCTTATACTTTTCTGACCTTAAAGTGCTTCAGCAGTTATTTTAAGATGAAACACTGAACTATATATGAACATATAAAGCTGCCCTACACTAAATGCAACAGTTGAATCTGAATGGCTCAGCATTTCCTGCTCTGACTGACGACAACAGAGAAACCACAGATTAGAGTATAGGATCTTCTCTGTGCAAAGAATATGTTCTAGCGATCTGCTGTGACTCTTCAAACTTAGTTCTGTTTATTTTAATAATGGTACCTGTCAGGGGACTGCCATCGGAATGGGGGAGGGAGGCAGCGGAATACCGAGAGCCTCCAAAGCTTCTGAGAAGCAGCTCATCGTCCAGCAGTGGAGAAAGCCACACTTCCAGTGGAGCAGGGGGGGGAAGGGGATAACCAAGTGAAGGGAAGGCTCGAAGAGGCCTCTGAGAGCAAAAGCGCCTCACCTAGCTCAGCCGGCCAGGAGGCAAACACGCCGCTTCCGTCGCCCTGCTTGTGCAGAGGTTTGAAACGTAAGGAGGGGAGGCGGAGATTTGGGGTGTCCAAGTTCTTATGCTGGGGGAGAAACCGGAAAGGGGCACTCCCGGAATCTGCAAGTGACTGAGACAGACATGAACCTTGGGTTTCTGCACTGTACATAGTTTGCACCAATAAAACCTGTAAAAGACAGGTCGGAGTCCTGCCTGGTTACTCACAAGCAACCACCACCAGCACCTCACTGTACAGAAGCTACTTTCTAGATAAGGATGCAAAAACATATTAGCTCCTAAAAATATAGAGATCATGGACACAAGTGAAGGAAGCAAAATAACATGAGGCTAATTCACTTCTCTCTCCACGTTTAGGCCCTCCCTTCCTCAACAAGCCTTCAACAACACTACACTATGAACCTAAGGAGGAAGAGAGAAAGATCCCACGCAAAGGATTTGGTCTTGGGCCAAGACAATTCCCTACAATGGATCTGCAGACAACATGTATGGAAAGCAAACCCACTCACATATCCTTTTCACAGCCAAGGCTGGACAGTCACTGCTGCAGCTCTTCTAAAGAGCAGAAAGTCTCCCTAGATTCCTCTCCAGCTGGAAAGAGTAACAGAAGTTGCAACCTAGGAATGGGATAAGAATTTAAGGAAGGGGTACTCAACTATGTGAGAATCCCTGCTCAGAATTCATACCACCTGCCCTCCATCACCTGCTGCCAAGATTAACTGGAGGGCAGGGTAAAGGTAAAGTACCTTTCAAAGACAACAAAAGGAAGTATAATAAAAATTAATTACAATTGACCAATGAGCAAACAAAAAGTGGAAACTGAACAAGGGGGAGCCTTGGCTATCATACCTCATACTCTGAATATGTTCCTTTCATTGAAATTTCTTATCTTTATCTGCAATTTTTCATTCAATAGTCATGAAGGTTCTTCTTTATATATAAAAAATGATTACCACAGGTTTCACATCAGCTGACAAATGCATATTTAATTCATTTTTATTACCATTGGTGTCATTGCTTCTATCTTTCAGAAGAACAGATTTTAAGCCACGATCATCTAATTCTTTCACAGGAACCCAGGAATGTTCTGCAGATGCATCAGAATTCCAGTCACACACGTGAATCTTAAAACTGCAGTTCTGTTGAACTGAATGAAAGAACAATGTGTTACTCTCCTTTAAGCTAATTGAATCTCACATTACTTTCATTATTGGGAGATTCATTGTTCCTTCAATTCCTCATATTCCCTTTCTTTGGGCTCCCACATAAAGAAAATATTCAGGGTGCCCCCTGAATCTGTCAATATGTTGCGGGAGGGATTCAAGCACATGCCAGAATTTTGGAATTGCGCAATTAAAGTCTGTTGCCCCAGCACAAATGCACTTCTAAAAAAAAATGAGCTTTTACATTTTGGAAAGGTAGGACAAAATGCATTGCAATGTGTGGGACGAGCAAATCATTAGTGGGAGGAAAAGCAAACACCCCACAAGCAAATAAAGGCAAAAGCTTGTTGTCATATAACTGCCTCTTAAAATAATCAGAATAAATGCTCAATAAAGACTGGTTGTAGTCTATCTACCATATAAGCTCTTTGGCAAAAAAATTTAAAAAAATTTGAAAGGGGGCAGGGTTCTGGCAAAAATGGCTTTGGTAATCCCATCCGCCACTGAATGCAATGGTTTTGGCTATACACGATTTTGGCTTTAGGCGTGAACCTTGGAACATAACCCTTGTGTAAGTTTATAGGTGCTGTTTACAGAGGTGGTCCCTATTAGTTCAGCAGCATATGACCATGTAATAAAAATAATGTAGACTGAGCATTATATTGAAGAGATAGTTTTATAAATTAATTATAATAAAGCCATATTCAATAAATCTTACAGCAGAATCCTCCATGTGTGCAATTGAAAGGGATGCTGGAAGGATTACTGAAGTGCTCTTGATCTGGAACTTGGGTCTTGACTTCACAAGCATGGACTCTCTCCTTACACAGTGAAGTATCTGCTAAGAGCAAGATCAAAACTTTAAGAATAAAAGTTGAGATTCCTACGTACAAAATCATTATGATGGCTACATTGAATTGAAGCTTGGTCACTCAAAATCTCTCTTTCGATTTTTCAACTCCGCAAGTAAGAACAGTTAAGATCCAACCCATCAGGTAAATCAGTTTTTCACAAGGCACAGCCGTGGAACAATGGAAAAAGCTCTTGGGCTCAGGGGGAAAGCGTGGATGAGACCTTTGAATATAACTAAGTAGCACTGCTTCTTAACAAAATCAAATAATATTCTGGATATGTTTAGGTCATGCACTTGAGAAATAGACATACAGAGATCTATAAACATGAATGTTCGGGGGGGGGGGGGACGACTGCAGCAACAAGGGAAGAACCCAGCTGTTTAGAGCTATTAGAAGCAGCACTACTTGACAGGGAGGAATTGAAGAAACTTGTTTTCACCCTTTCTGAAAAGAACGTAGTGTGAAAAATAATATTAATTTATTGAATTTCTTTTGAATGGAAATAAAGCTACATGGAAAGGGCTAATAATCACCTTCACTTACACCATTCCTCCACTGCAACCTCCCATGACCGGCTTTTTATTTTTAAAAAGCCAAGACTTTGGTATTCGCATTTGGATGTAATGTGTAGCGTAACTTGCCCCTGTGGGGCCCAGAGGCATTTCAGGGGAAATGAAAATGGCAGGTGTAGCTGGAGCTTCACTGCACAGAACACAACTGCCATACAAAGATTTTAAAAGGGTAAAGGGGGGGGGTTGCAGCTGTGGGCATTAGACTCAGTATTCCCACACTAAGTGTTGAAACTGGGACTATTTGTTGTCCTCACCATTTCTTGCTGTCTTTGGCAGACATTTGGACACCCACTGCCAGACTGCTGAGCCTGAGACCAATGCCCTGAAGTTTGACTTGAATGGTACCACTATCTAATGCATTAAACATTTTTTAAAAACCTTCTGTATACAAGATTGCCTTCAGACAGCTTGGGGACCGGATAACTCCATACCATCCAACATTTCTCCAATAAAATAGGGACATTCTACCATACCCTCCAACATTTCACCGATGAAAATAGGGACATCCTACAGGAAAAGGGACATTCGAGGACCAAATCAAAAACCGGGACAGCTTCTCTAAAACAGGGATGTCCCTGGAAAATAGGGACACTTGGAGGGTTTGCTAATGGCTGCTTTGCATCAGCAGAATGGACTTTACACACTTTTACTGGGCAGGGCATCAACTTTTTTTCCGAACTCCTTACCCACCGCAGTCCCCCATGCCACACAGCAAGCAACATTTAAGAATTGGAGGACCCTAGAGAACAACATGGGATACCACAGTAAAGCCCACAGTAAACAATGGCACTTGGCAAAAATTGGGTTGTCCCATTGTCCTCACCCCCCCATCTTATTGAAGCAGAAGCACTAATGCAAGGCCACAATGGATATAACCTGAGAAGAATAGCATTTCTCTCCCCCCCCCCCCAGCTTCACAAGCTTCTTGACAATGAATACTGTGCATTGCTCTACTATAAATTAATTTTGACAACTGGTGAAGCCAGAACAAAAGAAGAAAAGAGAGATGATCAATAAATCATTTGAAATGAGAATTGCTTCAGAAATAAATCAGGGTTAGTAATGGGATGTTTATAATAGATCTATAACAATATTCCAAACTTATTTGAGCCGTTTTCTTGTAACCCTTACAGTTGCAAACATTGTCCCCTCTGGGCTACATGGCTAAGCACGGAGTAGCCAATGTAGTCGTATTACTTTTTTTCTCTTCTCCAAGGCATTCTACTTTAATTTTACTGATATGAAAGAATCAATGTGTCATTTGCCATCTCTAAGTACACACAGAAAAGATGAGCTCGTGGTGCATGCTAACTGCTTTGAACAACAATCTATATCACAGAGGAATGAAGCATAGAGAGGCCTGTCTCGTGGAAAGTCAATAAGGACCACACTTTATTATTTTAATTAATTAATTAATTACATTTATATACCACCCTTCATCTAAAGATCACAAGGTGGTTCGCAATATAAAACATAAAAAATGCATAACATAGTAAAAAACAAAACCAGCAACCCCAGCCCCCACACATTTTAAAATACCATAGATTATTTAATTAGCCAAAGGCCTGGGAGAAGAAGAATGTTTTTGCCTGGCGCAAAAGATATGTAATGGCGCAAAAGATAGGTAATGAAGGTGCAAGACGAGCCTCCCTGGGGAGAGCATTCTACAAACAGGAAGCCACTGCAGAAAAGGCCTATACCTCGGAAGTCGAACGGAATCCATTCCAGAAGTCCATTTGACTTCCGAAACATTCAGAAACCAAGGCACAGCTTCCGATTGGTTTCTGATTGCACAGGCATGCCAGAAACAATAGCGGAAGTACCGTCAGACGTTCGGCTTCCAAGAGAAGTTCGAAAACTAGAACACTCAGTTCCAGTTTTTGATCGTTCAGGAGCCGGAATGTTTGACTCCCAAGGTGTTCGGAAGCCAAGCTACAACTGTACTTGTGTTGCCACCCTCTGGACCTTTTGTGGAGGAGGCACATGAAGAAGGGCTTCAGTTAGTGATTTCAGGGTCAGGGTTGGTTCATATGGGGAGAGGCAGTCCTTGAGGTAATAACTTTCTTCTACACTACTACAAGATGAACATGCCCTTGAGCAGTAGGACTCACTTTTCTATTTTTCTTGGTAGTGCTAAAAGAATAGGATTGCTTTTTCAAAGTTTTTGTTTTGATGTCAAAATTTGCAGGTTGAATGAAATAAAGCCTTTTGTCAAACAGCTATGCAAAAGACAAATGTTTAATGCATGTTCTACAAACTAATCACAATTCAGAGCAAATTTTATGGGTTGTATTCAACAGTGTCGCTTAGCTCAAATCCAAACTCTGGCTGATGGTAAAGCTTCCATTAGCAGATCTGGAAAGAAATAATTTTTCAGTTATTCCTCCTCCCTCTTGCAGCCTCACACCCCCGGCCCAGTAAATCTGCTCCAGAAGGGTCCCCAACTTTCTGGAGCAATTTGAGGCTATGGGGGCTGCGAAGGTGTGGAGAGAATGGCCAGAAAAATGCTTTCCTCCCAGTTCTGCTTACAGAAGCAAACTGTATCGGATGGCACAATCCCTTGTTTTACCAAGCTCAGGGAAGCTTCCCAACTTTACTGAGCTAAAACTCAAGCAGAAAGCAGATTCAGTTTCTGAATATCAACAAGAGTTTGCTTCCAAGTTCTTGGCAAGGTCTGACAGTATTTCAATTGTAGCCTTATGAGGCTTTGCCCTCGGGTGCGAAAAATATTGCGCCCGGGAAAGGGAAAATGGGAGTCAACAGACACTCAAGGAATAGTTTCGGAGAAAAAGCTTTATTTCTACCATCCATGAACTGGTAGAAGGAGCAAGTGTGATAACTCACAAAAAGCATGCACAAGTTCACAGTCATGCGCACAGAGTATATATTCCCCTTCTAGTTCCCTCCCCTTTCTCCTCCCTCAGGAGTCCTGCTCATAAGTTCCTCTGAGCATGAACAGAAAGCTGTCTTGGGACTCTTGGACTCTTGGCACCCTTCCCAGGAAAGGGGAGTGAGAGCCAAGGGGTCGAGGAGCCCTGGTGGTTCAGCATGTCCAAGATGTTGCAACCGAATGAGATAAAGATTCAGTTCTCAGGCCTGCTCTGACAGAGTCTATTCATTAGCTTTTTGAAGCCTTCTTGTGTTGATAAAAGTAACGGTTTTTCCTATGTACCAGCATCTTGTGAGAATCCACAGAAAAGCTGTAGCTGTGGATTTTTAGAAGACAAAAGGAATTTTGGACAGTTTTGAGGCCTGGTGTGATTATTGAGTGGGGGGGATTATTTATCGGGCCTAGGTGGGGTCACCTGTCCTCACCTTCCTTCACAATAATTGTTGAAGTAGCAGAGTTTTAACCATTTTGGATTATGCAATTATACTGAAAAAGCCACCATGTAAGATACAGGGGCACCCCCCCTTAAGTGCAATCAACTCGCGTTTGACCACCTATATGTGCGAGGCCGAGAAATAATTTAATAATTTTATTCAAACCTGGAAATGGAAGGAGAGAGCTGGAGAGTCTTTGCGGCTCACAAGGAGACCTCCTAGGAGCCTGAAGAGGACATCAGTGAGGGAGCAGGAAGCCCCGAAGAGATCTGAGGTGCAGCAGTCTTTGTTTTGGCTGCTCAGGCTACCCGCCTAACAGCTGACATGTGGGGTAGTATAACAGCAGCAGCCGCTTTCCCATGCATCCTCCAGCTTCCAGCCAACCCCAGAGCTTCAACTCTAGATATTTTTGTCTGGGTTGGCAAGAGAGTGGAGAGAAAGCTGGAGAAGAGTGGGGGGGCAGGCATTTGGAGGCTTTTTTAGAGGGTGCTCCCCACTTTATGGGTTTCCGGTCATGCATGTGGGGGCCCAGAATGTAAGTGACAGGGATGCCTGTACAATAAATAAACCCCTCTGATTCTCATGTCAATTAATTGTAACTTAAAAACAACAACACCAGAGCTAGGCCAAAACCACAGGACAAGAGAACATATTAATAGAGAATAATATAGGCCTTGGGCTGAAACTTGTCATGCAGCAACAGAAGCTAAGAATTAAACTGAAAGAAGCAACAAGGAAGATTGTTGAAGACTGCAGGCGGGTGGGGGATACACTGGAGAGGCTTAAACCTAGGCATATGGGAAAATGCCGAAGCATTGTGATAGGAAGGAGCCAGATGCAACACCAATTATCTGGAGAGAAGCAAATTAGGGTGAGCAGGCCTAGAACAGAATCTCAAGGGTTCTTGAAAAAGAACAGTACCTGGAGTGGGAAATCGCTAATTTAAAGAGTGAACAGCATTTCCACAGAAGCCATATCTTGCAGATGTGGCACATCACAGCAATTTCACATATCTGATATCTTATTATTCAGCTCATATATACTTGTTTCCATCATTCTTTAACAAGAGACAACTTGCATATGTGAATCAGTCATTATAAATTAGTAGCACAAAATATTGCTCTATGTCAATCATAGAATCTTAGAAATGGAAGGGACCCAAGGGTCCTCTAATCCAACCCCCTGCAATGCAGGAACCTCAGCTAAAGCATCGATGACAGGTGGCCATTCAACCTTTTCCCAAAAAGAGCCTCCAAGGAAGGATAGTCCACCACCTCTCAAGGGAATCTACCTTTTCAAATAGAAAGCCAACACTTGGGCCTAAGTCATCAAATATTATGTACATATATACATGAATGAGTCTTGGGCAGATGCTTTATACCGAGTCAAACCATTGGTCCATCCAACTTACATTGTGCACATTTGATTGATTAAAGGTAAAGGTAAAGGTACCCCTGCCCGTACGGGCCAGTCTTGACAGACTCTAGGGTTGTGCGCTCATCTCACTCTAGAGGCCGGGAGCCAGCGCTGTCAGCAGACACTTCCGGGTCACGTGGCCAGTGTGACAAGCTGCATCTGGCGAGCCAGCGCAGCACACGGAACGCCGTTTACCTTCCCGCTAGTAAGCGGTCCCTATTTATCTACTTGCACCCGGGGGTGCTTTCAAACTGCTAGGTTGGCAGGCGCTGGGACCGAACAACGGGAGCGCACCCCGCCGCGGGAATTCGAACCGCCGACCTGATGATCGGCAAATCCTAGGCGCTGAGGTTTTACCCACAGCGCCACCCGCGTCCCTTTTGATTGATTAGGGTTGCCATATTTCAAAAGGTAAAAACCAGGACATCCCGAAAACTGTTGAGCATTTTTTTAAGAACAAAAACACACACCACCCCACTGGCAATTTTGGAAATTCCCCCCCGGACATCTATTCTGCCTTTGAAATCCTCGTAATATCTGGGAAAATCTGGACATAAGGCTGCCCTAGATTGGTGGTATCTTTCCAAGGTTCAGATAAGAGCCTTTCCCAACCCCACCTGCAGATGTCAGAGGTTGAGTCTGGGGCCTTCTATATGCAGAGCATACAGTCTACCTCTGAGCTACAGAGAAAAAATGTTGATTCACGATAAATCTGAAAAACTGAAAACTAAAAAAGAAGGAAAAATCTACTTTGTGTTCTACAGTGCCTAGACGAGAGCTGAAACAAGTATTTTTAATTATTCAAAAACTAATCTTTTTCCAATTGTATTAACATTTCTAATATGATATTTCAAATTCATTCATTTCACATGAAAAGCCAAGTGGTTTATATTTGCTAGTGTCTCTTTAATATTTTGGTATCATAAAGCATCTTAAGCTATCAGCACTTACATATTATCAGGAATTATATACCATGTAACTTTCAAAGTCACCGAATACTAAATACTATTGTATGGCGGCATACAATAGAGTAAGCCCCATTTAACTAAGTAGAGTTTCTTCCAAGTAGACAGGTATGTGGTATATGTTAGTTCAATACTGTGAATTACTAAACACCATTACGCAGCAGCTATTAATCATAGCTAAATCATTGAAGCTAAGCTATCAAATACTGTCAAAAGGCATAGAAGAACTATAAAATATCATCAATTATCAACTGTCAGATAAGGAAATTTAATACTACAAATATTCAGCAAATATTTGGAAAAGATATGACACAAAACATTCACACATAATTTTCAGGAAAAACTTGGGATGCAAATTCATTATAGTTTGCCTATGTGAACTCAAAATGGGTTGTGATAGGGACCAAGAGCTTACATATCAGGAGTCATTATCAAACAGACATTTTCCTATGCGTATCAAGCAAGATTGGGGAAATGTTTAAATTCTCAAGATAACCTAGAACAGCAAGGCAGAGAAAGAGAAATATCTGTTCTAAGAGCAGAGGTTCTGTTTAAAGTCCAAATCTGCTCTTACTTCATAGGGATAGAATTAAATATCTACTTCAGCTCTTTTGTACTTTTTATATCCTTTCTTTTTATAACAGATTGGTCTCTTTAAAAAACATTTGAAACAAGATAGTAGGTTTTCTAAAAGAATATTGGCAATAGAGTGGGTTGACAGCTTTTTGAACCCCTGCGGTGCCATGAAATTACAAGCTGCACACCTGCCAAAATTCCTTCTTCTATACAACTACTGAAGATACAGACATAGACTCTTGCCCTTTGTTACATCTATTCACTCTAGCAATTGCATCCATTCAACCTAGCGGCATCTAGCCTGAAACTCAGTTTCTGAGGACCACTTGACACTTGACTTTTCATACTCAGGCATGATTATCCACACACAAAACACATGAGTGGCATTCTAAGGGAGCATTCATGTACTGTTAGTGGGGGGGGGGCGGGAACAGACTGCACTTCACTACTCAAAAAGGATGAGCAGACTTATAACACATGAATGCGACCCTCTCAACAGACACAGCAGTTGTATATTGTGTACTGAAGGACCCATATCAGGCTATGAATATTGGGCATGAATATTAGGCACAAGATAGAAAATGTAATTGTGGGGGGGAAAGAACCCATTGGAGGTCATTTTTGCTGGTAGTGAGGAATGCTCCCTGTTATTAGACAGCAACAGCATTGATGTGATCTCCATCATTGGACCAGCAGAACACAGCTGATTTCCCATGGTAAGCATAACGTCATTGGGAGTGGTTGTCTCTATTGTGTTATGCCATGCTCCCCATAGTAGTCATTGTGTGTTCTGCCACACCCCTTCCAAGGCAGCTGTTTTGAGACTGGCATCCCTAGCGCTCTCGTCCAAAAGGTTGGAGACCCTTGATGTTAGCCTGTTGCATCAAAAACAACTAAGAATCTTGTGACACCTTAAAGTATAACAGATTTATTGCAGCATAAGCTGCATCTGATGAAGTGATCCCCAAAAGCTTATCTTACAACAAATCTCTTTAGTGTTTAAGGTGCTACAAGCCTGGCTCTAAATCCACAGCAGAGAAAGTGTACTTAGATTCAGATGCTTGGTTTTGAAATATGTATAACTAAACTACAGGGGTGGAGTCTAATATGTTCAAAACTCTTCAGAGGCACTGTTTGGCAGCTAGCAGACATTTGATAAAGGAATGTATGCCATGCTTGGTACAAAATACATATATTGCTTATACAAATACAAATGCAGGACAGGTCAAACAAAAACATGCAAACATAAAATATATATACTATATCAGCAGTGCTTTTTTCTGGAAGGACGCAGGAGTACGCATACCCCTAAACATTTTGTGAATCTTTGTACTTTTGTCCATTTACTGTATTTATTTCCCCCGATTTGAACTATAAAATGGTGATTTTATTGAGTCAAAATGAGAGTACCCCTAAACATTTTTTTAGAAAAAAAGCACTGTGTATAAGGATTATACATAAAAATAAAAAATACATAAACAACTGCTACTACTATTTATTTTTGTTTCATAAATATGCATGTCTAGAGCACACTCATAAAATAATATAATCAATAAAAAGCAAATACAACAAACTCTTAAAGCAGAACACACATAAACCTAACAGTAAAATGCCCAGCTCCACAGGTATAACGTATGCTCTTTATGTATTATTTTCTTATTTTGTTATAAGAAATAAATCTCACACTACTGCCAAATTCCTAGGGCATTTGAGTTATGTTTGCTCTACGATGCAACAATATTGCTCAGAATCCTAAAAGGTGTAAGAAACTACATGTGTAGTGAAGAAGCGAGTTTTTCCTTCAGTCTCAGGAGACTGGTTGTTTTGGACTCCTGTGCTCACAACTGTTTGCTGGAGCTAAATTTATCTGAGACATAAACACTACATTCTAGAATATAACATGAATCACCTCACTAAAATAAACTGATGGGCCCCCAGTGCTGCATTGTAAGAGACAATTTGAGGTCATCTTTGAACTCTTCAACTCCAAGGGCTTAAATGTGCTTGGCAAATCTCCCAGTACCTTTTGTAGGTTTTAGTTGCTGCCTTGCACTCCACATTATTGCCAGTAAACCCAAATTATTGTAATGCAGACAGTTATTTGGGGTCACATATTTAGGGCAACAAAGCTCTGGCCCTGTGCCCCTGACATTTTTCTTTTACTGCAGTCTCCAGAAGGTCAGTATCAATGGAGCAGAGGTGCAAGGCAGATGTTTTATAAGGCTGACTGCAAAGGTTGGCATTGTTAGGCATCTGCCAAGGCCCAAATAAACAGGGGGCCCACTCCCAATCACCTCCTGAACCTACTCCTCCACTCACTGCTTGTACATCTCTCCTCTCTGGGAGAAATGAACAAGTTTTTGAGAGCAGCAGCTTCCACTCACCTTCTACTCTCACTTCCAGTGCAGACTGGGCTCAGGGCACAAGGCAAGCAAATGGGCAATAACATCAATGATTAGGAGGAAGTGGGCTGCTAGGGGCAGGGAGGGGAGGCCTCAAGAGCATCTTGTCCACAAGATCCCCCAAACCTGCACCCAACACCAGAAACAAGAAAAAAATCACAAAAATAACAGATTTGCCTGGCACAAATCTAGGCGGCCAGAAGGTATTCTAGAAAGAAGCACCAGCTTGTGGTCTGGCCATGCACATGTATAGTCCCAAATACATTAAAACCCATCTGTCACTGCCAGCTTTTGTCAACATCAAGACTATGTGCTTTAAATTTTTGAAGTTCCTAGTGTACAAAATCACAAGATTGATTACTTGTTTGCATGTGGCAGGCATTACTCACTGAACTAGCTTGTTCTGCCAGCAAGCCAGCATCCAGGTACAATGACACATGAACAGTCAGATTCTCCCCATGGCATCTGTTGCATACTAAAGGTTCACCACAAGCTAAGATCAGCTATGCAAGTAAATTCAAAACAGATGCCTGAAATCCCTGGTTTATTAGTATCTACGCTTAGAATGTCAACAAGGCATTCTTGCTTTGTGGCTTTTTTCTTTTCCTAATTAAGCATCAGAGAAATAATTTAGTACAGCTACAAGAATGCATCCTTACCAAAAGCCAGCAGACATCCTTCAGTGACTGAAAAATCATCAATAGCAATGGTTTCTCCTGGTGCCCAAGGTTCAAATATTTGTCCTTTGATGGAAACCTGCATAAACAGAATATTAGGGGGACATGGTTATTCAGTAGTAATATTGTCTATTACAATACTGAAGTATCTAAAATTATCTGCAAGGAAGCTTATAAGGGAGCTTGGAAGAAGCTGTGGCTCTCTCTTTGTTCCTTTCTAGTTTACTAGATGGTCTTACGGCCTAACATAGATGTGTTCTTTAAACATGTCCTCTGTGCCCACTCCATTTTGGCATCAGTGTTAGAAGATAGGACAGGGGAACAGACACCAAAAATCCCCTCCATTAATCCACTGTGTCATAGTGCTTAGAGTTGCATTCCCTACTTTATGCCATCAATTCCCATCATCCCTGGCCTTTGGGTGGTGTCGGTTGATGTCCAAATCTTCTGGAGCAAAGCAAGTGGGAAAGGCTAGGTTTAAGTGTCAAAGTTGGAGCAGGGAAACCCAGGCTCAAATTCCTGGTCAACTATGAAGTTTATCAGCTGACGTTAGATAAAGGGCTGGTCCCTAAATGGAAGTTTCATTAATCTTGTTTGCTATAGGCTTGAAAACTGTAGTAATACAGTTCTGAGCACTGGTAAAATTATAACCTATGCATATTAGCAAGTCTTCACTGCTCCTGTTTTATTGTGATTTTATACTTTTAAGGTAAAGGTACCCCTGCCCGTACGGGCCAGTCTTGACAGACTCTAGGGTTGTGTGCCCATCTTACTCAAGAGGCCGGGGGCCAGCGCTGTCCAGAGACACTTCCGGGTCACGTGGCCAGCATGACAAGCTGCTTCTGGCGAGCCAGCGCAGCACACGGAACGCTGTTTACCTTCCCGCTAGTAAGCGGTCCCTATTTATCTACTTGCACCCGAAGGTGCTTTCGAACTGCTAGGTTGGCAGGCGCTGGGTCCGAGCAGCGGGAGCGCACCCCGCCGCGGGGATTCGAACTTTTAGCTACCTTGTAAATCAACATGACTAAGAAGCTTGATATGAATAATGTGTTGGATCCAGCCTATTAGTTGCACTATTAGCCTATTAGTTTGTCAAAAGTCCTACTGATTTTAATGGGAACTAAGTGACACTAAGCAAGCCATTATAAAGAAATAAATACATGTAGCAAAGCACAAGCCTAGACTTATAACTTCTTCAGGCATCAGGAAGGAAATGAAAAGGGATGCAGTAATACTATAGTGCCAGGATCCAATCCTGTGGGCTGTTAATTATCCAAAAACTTAAACAACAGTACAATTTTGTGCTAGTCAGAGGTCTGTCAGAGAGAAATTTCCTCTTGCATTTAGAGACAAGCAAGGCAGCATTGTACAGGATGGCTAATGGAGAGCAAGAATAAGTTTCCATTGGAATAACTAGAGATCTGACTGCAACTAGGTATCTACTCTATCTTGGCAGGGTATATTCTACATTTACTTTCAGGAATAATGCATAATATGGAATCCCGAAGGACATAATATTTATAATCCAAGAAGCTTGAATGTAAAGGGTTAGTATTTCAGTCTTCCATGATTTTATTTATTGCCCTACTGAATAATGACATACATATCAGAATAATCAATTTTCTTAATAGGTTGGCTTCTGAGAACCAGAGAGTATCCAGAAGAAAATGCTTTTTACTTTTTTAGTTGGTATAACAGTATTTTTTTTTACAACAACCTAATTTACTATTAAATTAATGCTTTTTCTATATAAACCAATATATGTATCTTCCTAAATTGTATTAATAGGTTTAAAGAAGGCTGCTGCTTTTCTGAGAAACTGGAAAGCATTAAACATATGTAGATTCACTATTGTTGTCTAATCAGCACAATGAACTTGCACTTTGAAAACCTATATTGAAATCCCTGTCCAAGTGTGGACTGACTGACATGGATCTTGGGCAAATCACTAAGAACCTCATTTTCTTTCAGTGCCAGGAAGGAAGACGAATAGGGTGCCTATGAAGCCCTAGGTGAGCTGCCCTACGTGGCTCATAGGATATGTTAGGCTTGGAGGGGGATAAGTTGCACAAGTCTGGTTCAACATTCAAAGCAAAATGCTTACTGAAAAGTAAGTGTAAGTGCATGGCTACTGTAAGTGGGTTTCATTATTATGTCCTCCCACTTCATATACTAGCATGTGACTATCCAGCTAATTTCAGTTTGAGTTACATGCATAATTACAAAATGAATGCTTCCATTAAATCATTGAGATAAGGTCAAGTAATACCAGCCATGAATTTTTCATCAGAATTCCACCTTATTATTCACTTGAATTAAATTTCTAGTGGAAGTTCTTCTCTTTAAGTTGACATTTCACTCATCCCAGTATTGGAATATGCCCGAGCAGCTTGCATACCTCGACATTCAGAGTATTGTTGATTGTGATCACAGCTCTTTGCCACTGATTTTTAATTCCTCCTCTTTCTTGCCATATGGTCCCCGAGGCTCTATCAGAATTGGTTTGGAGTCCCACCGTGAGGGTTCCATTTATTTGACCAATCCAATAGTAAAACGAAATCTAAGAAGAAAAAAAGTTATGGTCCAAGTGTGTCAGCAAACTGCAGTGACAGCAAGCAATATGAAGAGGAGATAGTTCAGTTACCTGGCAGGTGAGCTGGTTGCTAGCCACAAAGATCACTCTGCTCCTCAGAATGGCCGGAAATGGGATGTGTTCAGAGGACAGTGTAAGGAAATGGGCTATTGATAGGAAGGGGGGAAAATTAGAAGTTGGTTTCCTGGACTTTGTAGAATTCTGGAAAACTCAGTATGAAAAAAAGAAAATAAAATGGATAATGGATTAGGCAACTGGCCTGTAGCCAGTGCTGAGCACTGTGGGTTAGGACAACTGGGAGTCACACATCAGATGTTAAAGTGAAACAATCTACTTTATATTCCATGAACAGATCGATCAGGGCTGATATATTTCTTACAAGCTGAGAGTTCTTGGTACAAACTGAGCAGCAACTCAATGTCACATTTTCTCATACCTCTGCTTTCATGTGCTGCTGCTGCTTTTAGATTATATTAAGACAATTAAAAAGATGTTGCAAGGTGCATTGCAGTAAATCAGATTCCTCCTGCAAACTTTGGGGTTCAAAAGCTTTGATGACTCCTCAGAAAGCACCTTTCTTACCTTCTTCCACTCCACCAGTTTTGCCCCCTTCTGTGCCAAATCCTAACTATATACAGCTTCTCCCTCTCTGTTCATCAAGCCACCACCCTCTCCTTTGAACACTCACAAGCCTGATTAGTGCCAGGTGAGTAAGGAACATGGGAACCAGGCCATCAAATCTATCTGCTCAGATATTCCACTGCTGACTGGGTTTTTATGTTGTGGGTGACCTAGGAGAACTGAAACCAGCTGTGACCAATTTGAAACACCTGGCCAGTGGGCTTTAAGAAGTGCTACTACTGCACCCACTCTCTTTATAGTTGTTTAATTTTTCAAGTTTATTTTCTCCATTTCCTTTACCTAAATCAAAGGCTGCATAGACATCATACATTTAAAGCACATGACTCCCCCCAAAGAATCCTGGGAACTGTAGTTTGCTAAGGGTGTCAGGAATTCTACTTCTGTGAGGGGTACACTACATCTCACAGGATTCTCGTGGGGAAGTCATATGCTTTATGATATGCACAGATCCTATTTGCTGTATGGTTGTATAGATGTGCAATAGTTGTTTTGATAGGCACATGGGCATTCGTGTTTATAGCTCAGGGCAAGAGCACTGATGAGATAAAGTTGCTCACAGCCTTTCAGAGTCTTATCAGAACAAGGCTGCCCTCCACAGGCATGCAACAGTGAATGTGCTAACCCAGTTGGAATAGATTATTTTAATTTGAATTCCAAGGCTATACACATGATTGTTTTTGTCATACAAAGTGACTGGCTGGGGTTTTGTACTGAGAGATATGGATGGCTGTGTTACTGACCTAATAGCATTGTGTTTTTAATAGGTTTTTATTATTAATATGCTGCATTGTATTTGTATTTTGTATATTTCTTTGAGATTCTTTTGAAAATAAAATGATTACTTGTGGCTAAGTGAGCCCATTGAAGCTGTTGGTCGATTTCTGGGGTAGGGCAGGTGCTGCTATGGCTGGTGTGGAGGGGTGATTCTCTCAAGAGATCTCAGAGGGCCTACATCCCACAGCCCTGCAAGATCTCAAAGAGGGACAGAATGCCAGTCTCCTTTTAAAGGACTGGCCACCATCCCATCCAGGTTTCTTCCTTCCTCAACCAAGAGGGCAAATTTCTCAGCCCTCGCTTCCTCAGTTTTATACCCTCCCAACATTTTTTCAATGAAAATAGGGACGTCCCATTCCATAATGATAATTTTACTATTTATTAAATAGTGGGTAGACATAGCAGATGACACAGAGATTTCTCCAAGTAGTTCTTTATAAGTAAGCTGAAACTGAACTGAACAGCAAACAGCTCAGCCGGCCTGCTTTTATAGGCAGCCGTCTGTCAACATTGTAACAACAACCACCCAGGGTTTCCCGCCTAAATTAACTGATGTGGACCTGAGTGAAAACTATATACATGATACCCCTGGTGGTCAGGGTGATAACTTCAATACATAACACTATTTATACCCTACAAATCTTACTGGGTTGCCCCAGCCACGCCAGACAGCTTCCAACATACATAAAAACATTAAACATTAAATGGCTCGGATGTCCAACATTTCTGCAATGAAAATTGGGACATCCCCCCATACCCTCCAACATTTCTTCAATGAAAATAAGGAAAAGGGAGACATCTCGGGATCAAATCAGAAACCAGGATGGCTTCTCTAAATCAGGGACGTCCCTGGAAAATAGGGACACTTGGAGGGTCTGCCCTCTCTTATCCTCCATCTGGGCAAGAGGCGTTACCAGACTTCAAGAGCAGGCAAAAGCACTCAAGCAGTTTACAAGCTAGGCCTGGTGAGAGACTGTGTGATTGTAGAGGAGGAGGAGCAGCCATGGGAGAGTCCCAAGGGCCACAGAGAGGCCAGGAAGGCTGCATTTTGTGGCCAGGCCTCAAGTTCCCAACCCCGGCCTAACCCTTACACAGAGAGCAGGCTGCAATACCTTTGAGGCAGGGCCTGGATTTTTGCCATGTACTCCTAGAGGTGCCTTGCCTTGGCACACCTAAAGTGACCCAAAATTCCATAACAGCAACTCCTTGTTGTGGGGTTGGGTTCAAATGGGACCTGGGTTCAAATTGTAGTGAGGTGGATGAGGGGAAAGAATGACAGCCCTTCCCCCTCCCAATAACAGTGTGTGGTATCTCTAGTGTATCAGCTTCTGTTGTCACCCTGAAAGGAAACAGCAAATAATAGGCAACTTAACAGAATCGGATGTGGGGGGGTGGGATAGTGAGGGAGCAAGAGGCAGGCATACAATTTGAACCACACCAGGAGTTTGGATGGAGGCCAAATAACCGAGTTAGACCCAGGTGAGCAGTCTGAATCTCTCAAACTTGGAATCCAGGTGTAGGCCTCAAGCTCTGCTCTTAGTGGGAGCTTTGGCTGAATCGGTGTTGTTATGCGAAGGCAGAGGCTGCTCTCTCCACCACAGCCTTCTCTCAATAGTTCCTTCTATCTCCCTCCTGCTTTGTCAATGTTTTAAACTCTCCCTTCCCATTCTTCCTCTCTCCTCAGAAGCTCCTCCACCTCTCGCTCGATCCCCTCGGAGTCTCCTCAGCCAGAACCCTTGTGGCATATCCTAAGGGTCAAAAAAGGGCTGTGCTCAAGGCACCCTTCTGTAACTCTGCATCTCGCTGCCTAAAATCATTCCTGGGGTTGTCTTTGCTTTCTGCTCCTTCCTTTTTATCTGACTTCAGACCTTGGCCTGGACCCTGAACTTCAGGAATATGTTATCTTTGATTGGGTGAGTCACTCTTTTCTCATTTTGATTTCCTGACTTTGACCCTTGGCCTGCTCAGACACAAATCCACAACTTGACATTTGCCAATTCCACCTAGGCTTGCAAGCAGTCACTATTCTTGACCCAGCACGACATATCACTGCAAACCCAGGAAAGTGGCAGGACATATCTTTTCAGAGAGTCACCCAGGGCAGGAACTATGACTGCCATGCATTACATCCAGCTTGAATAAAAAAAGAATTTCCTGAAAGTGCAGCTGAAAATTGACTGGTATTAAGTCAGAGGCTGTGACCGTATTTGAGTCCAATTCCCATTTGTAATGGGGCTACCAATCTCTTACTTTTGATGACCATTTAAATTCAATAAAATGGCCAAGACTACTTTAGGTCAGAAACCAATTTTATGCCTCCTAGTACACTTTCCAAGTCTTAAAATTACCAACTCAAGAAATGTTTAAAAGATGATGTCTTTAAAAAAAAAAGCAGAGTACTATAAAAGGATTTCTTCGTGTACAATGTAATACTGAGGATCCTTGTTTCTAGTGTTACCAGAGGTTCAAAGTATATCTAGAGGGACCATCAAAAATCTTCTTATGATGGTTAATTATCACTTGATAATATCTTTGGTCTCAACATAATTATATGCAAGAGAATTCTTCCCTTTGCCTCTCCATTGTTGTCCCTTATCATTTGACTTATTCCCCCCCCCCAATACTCTGTGGCAACCATACTAAAACAAACTATAGGGTTCGTGTTCCTGAAGGCAGAAAAGGGCCAGAAGCCAAACAGTATCACTGAATATATAAAATGTTTAGGTTTTCAAAGAAGACGGTTTTAATCCTCACAGAAAATAATAATTTGCAGAAGAGTAGCTGTGTTAATTTGTTGAATAAAAAATGATAATGTGTCTTGTGGACTCCAGACCAAGAAAAGTATTACTTCAACAGATGCATGAAATGTTATCTTTAGTTGATGTGTAGATAAATGTGTACACATATACATAAACTCTCAGGTGTAGAGCTATGCTGATAGGAATTGGAGTCTAACATCCAGCAGGCCAAAGTTTCCTCACCGCTGATTTATATGATGATAGTTTTTTTATTATTTGCAAGAGAGTAAGTTGCCCTTACCTGTGTTGTTCCCATTGTGGTCAGAATGAGGAGAGCCTATGATGTTCCTTCCGTTTCTCCTTATCCAGTCAACAGGTGATTTCTCATTTTTCATATTGCACAGATCACTTTCAAAATCACATTTTTCATAATAGGAACCTAATATTAAAAGGGTTATTTGCATACTTTGCATTCCATAATGAACACCTGCATTATACAAAATGCCATAATATATAACATGTACTTATTAACGTTTTTCATGAATAAAAAGCATGCCAATTCTGTTCTATTGCTTTCAAGTATAAAAGATCACAGGTCTATTTCATACATGTTAAAAACTCTGATATTACACTATCAAAATCTGCCATCTCTATCAGGTGGTTAGACATGGAAAGGAAGTTTACTCCACATAAAACAAATCTGGAATGACTGATCATCTCTCTGAATCTACCAGCATTTGAGCAAAATCAAATGGTACTGCTAAGTTGTGGGCGAACATATCAGATGACACAGCGATTCTTCCAAAGCAGCTCTTTATTTGTAAGCTGGAACAGAACTAACTGAGGAGCTCAGTCAGCCTGCTTATATAGAGCTCCAGAACAATTGTAACTGTTGCAACTTTCTAAAACTATCCAATCACAGAACATCACTTTTCGATCCTTCATTTGCGTACAAACTATCCAATCACTGAACGTCACTTTCGATCCTTCATTTGCATAACTATCTACAGTATCCCCCTTGTTATGTACTGAGTTGAATAGGATCCAAAAGGCAGCAGTCTGATTGGTGCTAGAACAATAGGATTCAGAATGCAGCAGTCTGATTGGTCCTAGAACAATGCAGCAGTATGATTGGTTGGCAGGAACTACCCAATCATGCTCCAGATAGAAGTGAATCCACAACCTGATTGGCTTACAGTAGAATTCCGGAATTAGCCAATCATGTGCAGCCCATTGTGTAAATAATGTATATAAAGCAGATACTTTGAGGGGACATTCATTCATTCCTCCTCACCACTATGAGCTGAATAAAGAGCATGAAATCACTTTGCGACTCTGAGTATATTTCACTGGCGACGAAGGTGGGATCCCGCTGAGCTGACTGCCACACACAGCACCGCAGCACCGCCACCTGCCGCACCGCTGCCTCGCACCGTGTATCCAGGCTTCAGCTCCGGGACACAAGGAACTCAGAATGGCAACCGACAGCAGCTTCTCGCCGTTCAACCCAGCATCTGGAGACTGGGAAGCGTACGCCTCCCGTTTCACCTTCCTCCTAGAAGCCAAAGGGGTCACCGATGCAGAAGACGCCAAGAAGAGGGCAATATTCTTCAGTGTCTGCGGAGAGGAGACGTTTGAAATCGCCCGGGCTCTCCTTGCACCTGAAGACGTCGCTACTGTTCCATACAAAACAATAATGGAACAGCTGAAGGGGCACTTTTCGCCACAGCCCTCAGTGGTGGCTTGTCGAAATGCCTTCTACGCAAAGCGGCAAGCCCCTGGGGAAACCATAACTGGGTTTGTGACCTCTCTCCGCCAAGCTGCCCGGTTCTGCAACTTCTCAGAGCTGGAGAACATGCTTCGTGACCGCCTCGTCGGTGGCCTGAAGGATGAGAAGCTGCAACGACGCCTCTACGCTAAGAAGAACCTAACGTTCCAGGTCGCTCTGGAGGAGGCCCTGGCAACGGAAGCTGCCGAGAGGTCAACGCAAGAGGCACGGCCGAGCCAGCCGTCCCAACCGAGGGTCCACCACGAAGACCTCACCGACGACTCAGGATCCGACAGGGAGGAGGTGCACAGAGTACAGCAGCGCACTCAAGCAGCCCACATACCACAGCTGCCTCGACGAGAAGGAGGGAACTGCGCAAGCTGTGGAGAAAGTCACGAGAGGAGGACCTGCCGTTTCTGCAACGCAGAGTGCAGGCAGGGCAGAAAATTGGGACACATCGCCCGGGTGTGTCGGGCTTGGCCCACCCGACGCCAGGCATCAGATGACCAATCCAAGAGCCCCAGGTCCTGGGGCCCAACACACCAAGGCAACTCGACGGAGCTCACGGACTTCCAGGTATACCAGTTGCCCCACCCCAACGTAGAGAAAATTTATGTCGAGGTACAGATAGAGGGGGCCCCATGCCGCATGGAGCTTGACACGGGTTCAACTCTATCCATAATCTCGGCAAAGACCTTAAGAAAACTGTGTCCTACAGGGGGTCCCAAACTCAGGCCGGCCCCATTCACCCTCCGGGACTTCCAGAAACGTAAGGTCCCCACAATGGGGGTGGGGACCTTCAGGGTGCAATACCGAGGGTGGACGCGGCAACTGGACTTGCTTGTGGTCAAGGGCCCCTACATTAGCTTACTGGGATTGGCATGGTTTGGACCACTGGGGCTAGCCGTCACCGGGGTGAACCACACTAGCTTACAAGTGGACGTGGACGCCATATGCAAGGAATTTCCGGGGGTTTTCGATGGGAAATTGGGACAGTATACGGGCCCCCCCATTGCTCTACAGCTTGACCCCGCAGTACGACCGGTCAGGCTCAAGGCCCGCCGGGTCCCGTTCGCCCTGAAACCACGTATTGACGAGGAATTGGACCGGCTCGTGGAGCAAGGAGTGCTGGAGCCAGTGCCTAATGCCCCCTGGGAAACCCCAATCGTCACACCCGTCAAGCCTAATGGTTCGGTCCGCATCTGCGCAGACTACAAATGTACCATAAACAAGGCCCTCACGGCCCATGCATACCCAGTGCCAGTGGTCAGCCATGTCCTTGCCACCCTGGCTGGGTCGAAAATTTTTGGCAAGCTGGACTTGGCCCAAGCATATCAACAGCTGCCAGTAGATGAGGCCACAGCAGAGGCACAGATGATTGTGACGCACAGAGGAGCGTTCAGGGTAAAGCGGCTGCAATTCGGTGTCAGCGTGGCACCAGGCATATTCCAGAATCTAATGGACTCGCTCCTTAAAGGGATTCCTGGAGTCACCCCCTTCTTCGATGATGTGTTGATTGCCGGGCCCACACCAGAGGAGTTTGAGGACCGCCTCCGCACCGTTCTGCACCGTTTCCAGACGGCGGGTCTCAAGGTGAAGCGGGAAAAATGTCTACTAGGAGTGCCTCAGGTGGACTTTGTGGGATTTATGGTGGACGCAGAAGGAGTCCACCCGACTGGGGACAAGGTACGGGCCATTTGTGATGCCCCAGCGCCCAAGAACAAGACTGAACTTCAGGCCTTCTTGGGACTATTGAACTTTTACCATTCCTTCCTTCCCCACAAGGCGGCGGTAGCGGAGCCCCTACACAGACTCCTGGACAAGCGGGCCCCTTGGGTGTGGGGCCAGCGCCAGGAGGCCGCATTCCAGGCAGTCAAGGACTTGCTTGTCTCAAACTCGGTCTTGGCACACTTCGACGAGAGGCTGCCGGTGGTGCTAGCATGCGACGCCTCGCCCTATGGAATTGGCGCTGTCCTGGGACACCAGCTCCCGGATGGAAGAGAGGTACCAGTGGCATACTTTTCCCAGACCCTCAACGCAACCGAGTGGAACTACTCGCAAATCGACAAGGAGGGTCTGGCAATCGTGAAGGGAGTAAAAAAATTCCATGATTTCTTGTACGGGCGGCCCTTCACTGTGGTGACTGACCACAAGCCGTTGCTTGGCTTGTTTGCCCCTGAAAAGCAGACCTCCCAAGTGCTGTCTCCTCGCGTCCTCAGGTGGTCAATTTTCCTTGCCAGCTACCAGTATGCACTGATTCACCGTCCTGGGAAGGCGATGGGCCATGCGGACGCCCTCAGCAGGCTACCACTACCAGAAACAGGCCCCGACCCAGCACCTGCACAAGAGGTTATGAGCCTGGAGCTGCTTCCCGACCGACCCATTCAGGCACAAGAAGTTGCACACCATTCCAAGAAAGATAGGGTCATCTCCCGGGTCCTGGACTGGGTGTGGAGGGGATGGCCCAGCAGCAGCCCCGGGCCAGAATTCGCCGGCTACACAACCCGCAAACATGAACTGTCGGCCCACAAGGGGTGCCTGTTATGGGGAAGCAGGGTCGTTGTTCCCCAGCCCCTCCGCAAAAGGGTCCTCACAGCCCTACACGAGACACACCCAGGGGTACTAAGAATGAAGGCCCTTGCCAGGAGTTATGTGTGGTGGCCGGGGATCGACGGAGAGATAGAGGCCTGGGTCAAACACTGCCAGGCCTGCCAAGAATCCCGCCCAGATCCCCCAAGGGCCCCAGTCCAGTCCTGGGAGTCCGCCCGAGCACCATGGTCACGCCTGCATGTGGACTTCGCTGGCCCCTTTCAGGGGAAAACATTCTTCATAGTGGTGGACTCCTACACCAAATGGCTGGAAGTCGCACTGGTACCGTCCACTTCTACGTCCGCAGCCATCCGGGTACTACGCAGGCTGTTTGCAACCCACGGGCTCCCTGACACTCTTGTCTCAGACAACGGGACTGCATTCACGTCAGGAGAATTCCAAACCTTCACAGCGCAGAACGCCATCCACCACATCCGTTCGGCGCCATTCCACCCTGCCACCAATGGCCAAGCAGAATGCATGGTGCGGACCACCAAGGACACCCTTCGCCGCATGACGCAAGGGGATTGGGAGTACCGCCTTGCCACATTCCTTCTAGCACAGCACAGCACCCCCAGCTCAACGACTGGCCGGAGCCCCGCTGAACTACTAATGGGTCGGCGCCTTGCAATCAGATTGGACCGCCTTCACCCTGATAGAGCACAGGATGAGGTAGTGGTGGGGGAAGGCAGGAACCCCCGGACCTTCGAGGCTCAGGACCCAGTGTACGCAAAGAATTTTGGGGCAGGCCCAGCATGGGTACCCGCCACAGTCACCAGAGTCACTGGCCCCGTGTCGTACGAGGTGCTAACAGATGGGGGGCAATGCTGGCGCCGCCACTGCGACCAGATACGGCGACGATTCCCAGGAGAAAACCAGGAGGAGGAAAGGGCAGAGGAGTCCCAAGGGAACAGAGGGGCAGTGAGGCCCATAGAGCACGAGGGGCCAGCAGGAGAGGCAGAATCAGTAAATACAGAGAGGACCTGCGAGGCCGAAAGGACACCGGAACCAGAACCACGACTGAGCGAGCTGGTTGCACCAGACCCAACGGCCCCATCACAGCCAGCATCCTTGGAACACGAGCCAGAACCTGAACCCCGGACCAGGGAACACCCCAGGCCGCAACGCACACGTAGGCCGCTGGCGTACCTTGAGGACTATGAATGCGACCTCCCGGGCAGGACTGGAACTTAGAGGGGAGGGGTGTTATGTACTGAGTTGAATAGGATCCAAAAGGCAGCAGTCTGATTGGTCCTAGAACAATAGGATTCAGAATGCAGCAGTCTGATTGGTCCTAGAACAATGCAGCAGTATGATTGGTTGGCAGGAACTACCCAATCATGCTCCAGATAGAAGTGAATCCACAACCTGATTGGCTTACAGTAGAATTCCGGAATTAGCCAATCATGTGCAGCCCATTGTGTAAATAGTGTATATAAAGCAGATACTTTGAGGGGACATTCATTCATTCCTCCTCACCACTATGAGCTGAATAAAGAGCATGAAATCACTTTGCGACTCTGAGTATATTTCACCCCTGCTGGCCCAGGGTGAGAACATCAGTACATAACAGGTACTATTTCAGATTTGCATTGAAACATACAGAGTCCAATTCTGATTATGAACATACCTTTAAGCATATGACCAAGCTGGATAACTGACTAGCAAATCAAGGAGAATTATTTTAGCCCAGCACTCCATTTGCAGGGAGTTTTCAAACAAGAGATTACCCCATTTACAGGAAGAATACCCCAGGAAGATCTCTGCAACCTGTTTTCCCCCCTGCACATCTTAATCATTGTACATGATAAAAGAAGACTAAATGGGAATAAAAGAAGATGGATGCAGCAGAACATCCTCCCCCTTGTAATAAAAATAATCTGTCTTTCTGTGCTTTTTCATCTATTCTGTATAAATGTTTAGAAAATTGAAGAGGCTAGCAAAAGTAGATATTCATAAAAAATAATTCTCGCAAATATTGCTAACATAACCAAGGCAGCATTTAGCACTAATGATTCAATATTGTACATGTCAGCAGCATTGCCCTTTCCTTTAGAGCAATGAAGATTAATCACTGAAAACAAGCATTTGGCTCAAACATTTGTAACTTCATCAACATAATGCTTTGCTAGATTGCATTTTCGGCAATATGTTCATAACATCTTCAAAAAAAATTATAATCATTGGTGGTGGAGAGGGAGATCTCTTAGGCTTGATCCTGCACATTTCTCAGGTGGGCAGTTGCAAAATATTAATGGAGAGGGAAGGCATTTTTAAAAAACCACACCAGCCTTAAAACAACTCTTACATCAGCATGCAAGATTGAAATGGTGCAGTGATGAAAGTCTAAAGGGCAAAACTGACAATGAATGGAACAGCATAATGTTAGGTGTATAGAATAATGTCATTTTACTTAAGCAATCGGCACTTTTTCCTTGCAATTTGAAACTTCCATAAAACCATTTATGCAGCTTGCCTATACCTGCTTAGTTGGGAGGAAATTCCAAAGGAAGCTTACATTTGAGTACACATGTGCAGGATCACACTGCCAAAAAGTGGCTTGTGCACTAAATATTTTCTGTTGAGTTTTCCTCAGTTTCCTAACTATTTAAAGACATCAAAATATGATGCTCTTTTAATACTAAAATGTTTGCTGATTTATAATTCTATTTTATTGTATAGTTTTCACAATATAATACCTTAAAGGTTATTTAATTTATTTAGGGGTGACTCCAGAAAAGCTAATTTCAGAGAGCAGAGTAGTGTTTAAAACCAATGTTTGTGGAATAAGAATTTAATTTACACTATATACCCCTCAGAATCATCACTGCATATAATCAGCTTGGAGATAAACCTGTTGGATAAAACTGAAGCATACAAGACGGAGCAAAATGGGTGAGTTGTTTTACACAAGCTTCCCTACACTGTCTGAGATTTACACATCTTTTCATTGTTTCACAGTATCTCACATTTCTGTCTAAACATAAACTACTGCTTAGCCATGCCCATTTAATTTTCCAGGCCACAGAAGACACTTTAAAAAGTATCTGGTAGTATATGTTTGGGGGCCGGATGGAATGTATATACTTTAAGGAGAAACTGTTTCTCATTTTACCCCTTAGGTGAATAATTTTAAGTTATCTTGAACCTGACTCAATATGCAATCACTCTGTCAGCTATTTGTCTTCCTCTTCTTACACAACTGCAAAGCAGAAGCAGCTTAGATATGAAAGTCAGTTCAAAGAGCTAATGAAAATGTAAACACTTGATGCCCCATACTGAAAACTGATTCATGAAGATCTGAGCACAGTAAAATATATGGCTGACTCTCAGCTAGCATGTCCTACTCAAATGTAAGGTTTTTACCTCCCATAATATTGAAGTTAATAGCTTATTGAAATGCAGGCCACATTTCTTTAAAAGGACTTATAGCTATCTGTAAACCTTCCAAGATTAAAAGAGCCACACAGTTTATGAATTCTAGGTAGACTTCTTGGAAGGGGACAGGGCATGGAGAAGAAGCTACAGCTCACACCTTGAGCCCTTTATTATTATGAAAATGCAAACATACAATGGGGGGTGGGAATCATCATGAAAATTATCATTAAATCAATCTATGTGGCAATGTAATTGAAATTTCTAGTAGCAACAATGCAGGCCCGATTTATATTAAAGAAAGCAATATATACAGATGAATGTAACCTTGGTATTTCATATTCCAGTAATGTATAAACAAACTCTGCTTTTCAATAAACCGGTCTGGTTAGTGTCCATTTTTAAATCTCTTATAATGCCACAGTCCAAACTCACTGATAGTTGTCAAAGATTTCCAAGATGACTGCAGTAAGTAAACTGGCTGTTACACCCCTGTAAATCTTAGAAGACATACATGTAACTTTTTGTCATTAAAACAGATGTTGTCGGCGTCTGATGAATGATAAGTAAAAAATCTTACTAGTTAGAAGGAACTGGTGCATTGTGGCATGTGCAGTACATTTCTAAGCATGATTGCACAAGAATAAGGTACACTATTTTAATTAGCATCTTATGCAGTTTGTGGGGGTGGGTAAAAATATTCCCAAATATTAGATGAATCCTTGGGGCAGACAAATTCTAAGAATTTGCTGGGGGGGGGTGTCTATTTAAATTTAGCCAAGGTTCTTTCCTTATTTCCTTTTTTTTTGAATACTAAAAAGCACTTGGCATTCCTGGAACACAGCATTCTTAGGAGTGAAAGATGGTCTCACCCACCTCAGATTTAAGGTTAGGCCTCAACCCTGAACATTCATAAAGTTAGATCACCAATCCTTTAATGTTGCCATATACCCCCAATCTACTTTCATGGAGGACATGATCTTGCAAAATGATCTTGCAAAAGTGAGGAGAGATATTCAGCCAAGTTTAGACCCTTATTTTAGAATGCTTTAACTGCCAAGCCTATTACAGCTTTTATGCTGTTATTTTATTCAATGTAGTAGATTTGTGTGTTTTTTAATTGTGCAGCCTGTCCTGAATGATGCAAAAGCAGTAGGAGGGCAGGTGGGGTGTTGGTTTTCTAAATGATACTTAATGATACTTAAATAAAATGGGGACAATAACCCTGCAAATATAAATATGTACATAGAACAGTAATCAAGAGAAATATAAAATCACAAAATACCCAACCTTATCACAATCCCACCCCCCCCACCCCGCACAACCCCACCCCCAACTGTCTTCAAATGCCTTCTTCCTTGGGGCAAATGTTCCATGATACTAAGGTCTTATTAAAGGCTTACCAAGTTAATATAATTATCAATCTCTGGGTCTTTGATCTCTGACCATTTTCAAAATATGAACTTGATTTCTACAGCAATGTTTTACAAAACTTGTTTTAAAGCTGATCTGAGATAGGAACTAATTGCATCCAACTAATATTGGATTCTAGGACAACAGTGAGAAACTCTTGAATTGTATTGTAATCTATTTAACACCATAAAAAGGAAATCCACTAAGATTAGTGACATCTACTTACATTGTTCTGCATCACTACAATCCTTGCATTGGTAGGTGAAATCACACAACTCCACTGATGGAATCACAGAGCCATCACAACATTGAAAAACGTCTCCTTTAGAAAGCCAAAATGCTGCCAGATTGATACACAGCAAGGCACAAAAGTTGCTGGCTGTGTACATTGAAAACGTTTCTGTAGATACCTTGTCCTTGATGGAATTATTGCAGCAATTACCCTGCAAAATGTGTATACAAAAATGCCATTTCAAAATACAAGTGCATTAAAAACTGATTCAAACTTTGCAGGTCTAGAAGAAGTTTTCCTTCTAGTACGGCATGGCTTATGTAATGCGTTCAGTTTTCATATTCATACAGGTATAAACTTGGAAAATATTTAACCGGGTTGCTCCACATTTTATGACAAGCTGAAGTAGTTTGTGGCTTTACAGTGCAACTCAGTTGCCTGGTGCTACAAAGAACATCAGATAAATTGAATTAACAGTGGCACACAGTATGCAAGACAGTACTAAAGGCCATTTCTCCTTATTAATAAAATCAAATGGCAGCAGCGATAAACTGATTAAAAAGTATGACACACACATTTTTAAATTAAGTTATCAGGTTTTTAGTAACCTCTCAAACTTAATCAAATTTCTTACAATATCATAATTCATTGGACCCAGGATTGACATATTGGATTGGCCCAAGTCCACATTCTTGCAGGGTAGGGGCATTGCTGGCTCCTGGAATCCCCCAACTTTTCTGAAGAAGAAGAAGAAGAGTTTGGATTTGATATCCCGCCTTTCACTCCCTTTAAGGAGTCTCAAAGCGGCTAACATTCTCCTTTCCCTTCCTCCCCCACAACAAACACTCTGTGAGGTGAGTGGGGCTGAGAGACTTCAGAGAAGTGTGACTGGCCCAAGGTCACCCAGCAGCTGCATGTGGAGGAGCGGAGACGCGAACCCGGTTCCCCAGATTACGAGACTACCGCTCTTAACCACTACACCACACTGTTCTTCCTCCTGGCTGTTCGCCTGCTTCAAGGAGGAACATGTCAGGATTTACCAGAAAACAAACATCAGCCCTGATGAGAGACCCACTGATGACAGAAAGAAGGGAAGCACGGAACTGTGGTAGCCCCCAGAGATCATGGGGACTGTTGAGACTTAATGTCCCTTGAGGCAAGAGCAGACAGTGTGTCACCCTGCCCAATGGGGCTTCAGTACTGGGAATTCACATTGCCTCTTGTTGGGACCCCCATCTAAGTTCTGAACCTCACCATCCCCTCTGGAACCTTAGAAATGGTGACAACAATGGGTGCAGGCAGAAGTTGGTGTCCAGCAATGAAATGCCCAGCTGGCAGCTCAGTTCTATGTGGAGGGAGGAAACAAGCCCCACATCTGGTCCAGATGCTGGACCTGAGCAGCTTGAGCTTGGTCTTTCTGGCGAGTAAATGGTCTCTGTTCACAGCAGCCTTCTTAAAATGGCTGCCAGTTCCAATAGTTCCATGAAAAAAGGAAACCTACATTCTATCTATAACATAAAAGGATATGAAAAGACAAGGTGCTTATAATTTGGGGGACTTAAGAACGCCTTTTATTTTTTATTTTTTTAAGGAAAAGTCAACGCCAACTTGTTCCTGGAGGTTTCAGTGTTTTACAGAAAGGTTGTAGCCAGACATCACCTAGTCTAACCACCAGTTCCTAACTACACCGAGGAATTAATATACCTTTATTTCTAGTTAGTGCTATATTTTGGGCCAAAATGGACGAGAAATGGGCCACAGTGCTGGCAGTGGTGAGGTTTTTGGCCCACACCAGATGGCGTAGAACATTTTGTCCATGGGAAAACTCCTGCCCCAATCTTGGATCTCACACTGCTCTGAATGTTATGAATATGACCTCTAATTTGTGAACATGGGGAGGGGCATGGGTAGGAAAGAGAGTTCTGCACTTTCTATCTCACTTTATTAAAAGTAATAAACCTGCCTTGCTTGGGAGGGGGTCAAATTCTTGTCAGATTAGTCCTGATGTTGAAGCTACCCAGTCTCTTTTCCCAAGCAAGACATTTTACAACCAATGCGGCTGCTGTGATGTACATTCCTTTTCTGCAAACATCATTCCTGGGTGGTACATCACTATCAAAGCAGGACCTAGATAGGGAAACACCAATCAAGAACTCCCTGGAGGGCAAGATCAGCCAGCAATATGACTTCTCTGGACAGGTAAATTGGTGCAATGAGGATTTGCATTGATAATGTGGAAACCCTTGCCTTGAGAACATAAATGCAGTCATAAAATCCTGGATAGTGCCTGAAGGTAGGCAGTTAGACCAATGGAAATCCATACAATTGCAAGGATAGAAATGTAGTCCCAGCAGCAGAGATACATCATTATACAAAAGTTTGAAAATTGCCCAAAGGGCAGGTTCCACATGATACTCTGCTCTGCTGCAAGCCTGGGATGTCAATATCCCTCTGTAATTATATATCATATGTTACCTCTTAACATCCTACCTTCCGGCAGCAGCATGAGACTGTAGAATGTATTTTTGTAAGCACTTGGGTAATTCAATATTAGAGATTGAATAATATTAGTGTAATTTAATATTCACATATGGCACCCTTATGCACGAACCTTTAATAGCTAAATCCTCATAAAATATGAACATTCAAGTAAGCCTCCAGGATTAAAATTCCACCTCACTCCGTCTTTCTGCTTCTCTGCTCCGTGGTTCTTAGAAAAAGAACAAAAAACCTTGACATAAACTCCTTTCCCCTATGCATTAGCTTCATACCTGACACCTACTGTAAAAAAAGACTTTAAAAGTATTTCAAGCTTTTTAAAAATACAGTTTCAAATCCCAGGTGCTTTTTGTGGACTATTCTCACAAAAGGATTTCTACACCGGGAATTATCTCAATGATTAACTTCTGACATTATATCAGGGATAGGAACCTGTGGCTTTCCAGATGTTGGTGGACTCTAGTTCCTATCATCCCTGACCCTTCCTCATGCTGGCTGAGGATAATGGGAGCTGGAGTCCAATAATATCAGGAGGGCAACAGGTTCCCCACCCTGGAATATATACTTTGAAATTTATCTATTCTGACCATAGAATCATAGAATCATAGAATCATAGAGTTGGAAGAGACCACAAGGGCCATCGAGTCCAACCCCCTGCCAAGCAGGAAACACCATCAGAGCACTCCTGACATATGGTTGTCAAGCCTCTGCTTAAAGACCTCCAAAGAAGGAGACTCCACCACACTCCTTGGCAGCAAATTCCACTGTCGAACAGCTCTTACTGTCAGGAAGTTCTTCCTAATGTTTAGGTGGAATCTTCTTTCTTGTAGTTTGGCTCCATTGCTCCGTGTCCGCTTCTCTGGAGCAGCAGAAAACAACCTTTCTCCCTCCTCTATGTGACATCCTTTTATATATTTGAACATGGCTATCATATCACCCCTTAACCTCCTCTTCTCCAGGCTAAACATGCCCAGCTCCCTTAGCCGTTCCTCATAAGGCATCGTTTCCAGGCCTTTGACCATTTTGGTTGCCCTCCTCTGGACACGTTCGAGTTTGTCAGTGTCCTTCTTGAACTGTGGTGCCCAGAACTGGACACAGTACTCCAGGTGAGGTCTGACCAGAGCAGAATATAGTGGCACTATTACTTCCCTTGATCTAGATGCTATACTCCTATTGATGAGGCCCAGAATTGCATTGGCTTTTTTAGCTGCCGCGTCACATTGTTGGCTCATGTCAAGTTTGTGGTCAACCAAGACTCCTAGATCCTTTTCACATGTACTGCTCTCAAGCCAGGTGTCCCCCATCTTGTATTTGTGCCTCTCATTTTTTTTGCCCAAGTGCAATACTTTACATTTCTCCCTGTTAAAATTCATCTTGTTTGTTTTGGCCCAGTTCTCTAATCTGTCAAGGTCGTTTTGAAGTGTGATCCTGTCCTCTGGGGTGTTAGCCACCCCTCCCAGTTTGGTGTCATCTGCAAATTTGATCAGGATGCCCTTGAGTCCATCATCCAAGTCGTTGATAAAGATGTTGAATAAGACCGGGCCCAAGACAGAACCCTGTGGCACCCCACTAGTCACTCTTCTCCAGGATGAAGAGGAACCATTGATGAGCACCCTTTGGGTTCGGTCAGTCAGCCAGTTACAAATCCACTGAGTGGTAGCATAGTCAAGACCGCATTTTACCAGCTTCTTTACAAGAATATCATGGGGCACCTTGTCAAATGCCTTGCTGAAATCAAGGTAGACTACATCCACTGCGTTCCCTTCATCTACCAGGCTTGTAATTCTGTCAAAAAACGAGATCAGGTTAGTCTGACATGACTTATTTTTCAGAAATCCATGCTGACTATTGGTGATCACAGCATTCCTTTCTAGGTGCTCACAGACTGTTTGCTTAATGATCTGCTCCAGAATCTTCCCTGGTATTGATGTCAGACTGACTGGGCGGTAATTATTTGGGTCCTCTCTTTTCCCCTTTTTGAAAATAGGGACAACATTTGCCCTCCTCCAGTCTGCCGGGACTTCGCCTGTTCTCCAGGAATTCTCAAAGATGACTGCCAGTGGTTCTGAAATCACATCTGCCAGTTCTTTTAATACTCTTGGATGCAGTTCATCTGGCCCTGGAGACTTGAATACATCTAGACTAGCCAAGTATTCTTGTACTATCTCCTTAGTTATTCTGGGTTGTGTTTCCTCTGCTGAATCATTTGCTCCAAATTCTTCAGGTCGGGCATTGTTTTCTTTATCGGAGAAGACTGAGGCAAAGAAAGCATTGAGGAGTTCAGCCCTTTCTGTGTCCCCTGTTTGCATTTCACCATCTTCTCCTCTGAGTGACCCCACGGTTTCTTTGTTCTTCCTTTTGCTACGAACATACCCATAAAAGCCTTTTTTGTTGCTTTTAACCTCTCTAGCAAGCCTGAGTTCATTTTGTGCTTTAGCTTTTCTGACTTTGTGTCTACACGTGCTGGCTATTTGTTTGAATTCCTCTTTGGTGGTTTCCCCCCTTTTCCATTTTTTGTACACATCCTTTTTTAATCTTAACTCAGTTAAAAGTTCTTTAGATAGCCACCCTGGCTTCTTTAGGCACCTTCCATGTTTCCGTCTCATTGGTATTGCCTGAAGTTGTGCTTTTACTATCTCCCTCTTAACAAACTCCCAGCCATCTTGAACTCCCTTTCCTTTTAGTATTACTGTCCATGGGATCTCACCCAGCACTTCCCTAAGCTTTATGAAGTCGGCTTTCTTAAAGTCGAGAAATTGAGTCCTAGTATGCTTGGCTGCTCCTTTCCGCTGT